ATCGGTTGCGTTTGCGGCTATGCTTGGCATATCTATGCTACCTAGCGCATTTAGGCAAGCATAGAAATATGCGCGAACCGGTCACTGCAGCATAGTCAGGATAGGCTTCAGTGAGTAAACGATGTGCTTCAGTTGCATTTTTCTTTAAATGGAAGAAGCAAATTAAAACTTCCCGCAAATGATCTTTTGTTGAAATGAAATTCGACATTTTGAACGCAATAAAAAACTTGTGTGTATGAACTTGTATCCACTTTGACAGATGGAATTTAATAGTTTTTTTGACGCTCTTTAAGATACACTTGTTGTAACTGTCAAAAAAATGGCGCGTATGATACATAAGAAGTTGACACAAATACGACATTTTTAAGTTGCACTACCAATATAAAAAAGTTTTAGATTTTATAGTGTGATCTTATGTCTTTTTCACACTACTGAACGCGCAATCGCTTCAATAATTTATATACGTGTATTTTTTTCGGGTGCGGTAGAGATAGTTTTACGCGTCCATTTATACACTTATTTGTTTGCAAATGTTTTATCGACTTTTACTGTTTTTCTTGATTTTTCCATTTTATTTTCATGATTTCTTTGAACTCGTTTGGTTGCGCCAATAATAAATTGATAAATTTCAAACTTTCTGAACACATTCTCGGGGCGTAAAAATAAAGTTTCTTATCGAATTCTTTTCACACATTTCAGGTTGGACGAATTACACACCGTGGTTAGTTAGGTTTCCATTTTTATTTAATTTTTTTTCTTTTAATTTAATATTTTTATTTATATTTAGTTATACGGATGAAATGCGTGTCTTAATGAAAGCGGTATTCGAACAAGGTAATTCGAAATTTCGGATATCGTCTAGTTTTAGTAATTATTATGATATTTATATGATATCTCCTTTATAAAAATGGTTTTTACAATCACAGGAAAGGAAATGGCAGAAAAAAAGTTTTTTATTGCCGAAAGCACGAGGACTTTAGAAATATTCGGTTTAAGGTATGATTAACGAAAGAAAAAAGAACTGAATGATTTAAAAAAAAAAGTGTTTGAAATTCATGACAAAAATGAAACAAGAGAATAGATGAAATTCATTTTCAAGTTTTTCCGTTTCTATATTTTTTTATTTTTTCCAAGAAAACTTTGCCACTTTCTCAAAATAGCTCGTAAAATTAATTTTATAGTCACAACGTTTCCAACATTTGTAATAATTTTTACTAATTTTAAATTTTTCTTGGTTACAGTGTATCGCTGTTTACATTACTCATATCATTGATAATTTTTTGTAATATTCGGTAAGTGTAGTACACTAGTGTACAATAAGTGCGTTTTTTTGGCAAATCAAACAAAAGTCTTTTGTTCAATTCTCTTTCTCGATCTGTATCAATGCAGAAGTTTACGAAATGCACGCACCAAAATTCACAAGAATCTCTTTGTGGCAATGGTAATTCAAGTGTTGGTTCGGTTAACGGTTTATTTAGATCAAATACGAAATGGACGAAATTTACCTAATGAAAATTTATCGGGCATACAAAATACGGTAAGCATATCACATCGTTTAACTATATGTGATGTGTGTTTGTGAAATTTTCCATTGTATTTAACTAGATTTCTATTTTATGTATCATCATTATAATTGTAGCCTTATCTATGCGAAAGTTCATATATCTTTTTGGAGTATGCACGAACGGCAATGTTTATGTGGATGTTTATCGAAGGACTCTATTTGCATAATGTAGTGACGGTAACTGTGTTTGCGTTTCAAGGCCAATTTCCGCACACTTTCTATGCAATTCTCGGTTGGGGTTTGCCGGCAATGATGACGGCAGTTTGGGCAACGTTCACAGCAAAATACAAAAAAGGATTAAAGTAACCAAATATACGATATACTTATAGAAAAAATCACAAATGAAAACCAAAAGAACGCTGTGTTGATTACTCAAATTACATTATTGATGCGTTTTTTTTTTGTTTTTTTCAGATGCTGGTGGGGGTAAGTGGTCTCAAAAAACACATAATACATAATTTCGATGAATGTGCAATAGTGAATTTGGTGTGAATGTGTGTGAATGCGTGTGTGTTTCGGTGGTTTTTTTTTTTGGTTTTTTTTTCATCATTTTTTTTTACTTTCAGATATAATTTAACGTCAATCTATTGGATATTAGAGGGACCTCGTTTAGCCGTTTTACTATTGAATTTTATATTTCTATTGAATATAATTCGAGTGTTAGTAGTTAAGTTGAGACAAAGCCATACGAGCGACATTGAGCAAGTGAGAAAAGCGGTTCGGGCTGCAATCGTTTTAATACCACTACTTGGTATTACTAATTTATTAAATATGACTGATGCACCTCTCCATCGAACTGCATGGGAATTTGGATTGTGGTCATACACAACGCACTTTCTCACTTCATTTCAAGGCCTATTCATTGCTACGATCTATTGTTTTCTAAATAACGAGGTAGATCGAAATTTCGAATCTCACTTAGTTGACGTAAATATTATTATGATATTTATATAATCTTCTCTTTTGGTAAACACAAAAAAAAATGTGTACAGGTTAGAGCAGCTTTGATGAAAAGTCTCGGTGTGTATATGTCGTTAAGAGGAAATTTTGAATGGATACCTCGGCGTCACTCAATGTTTTCCGGTAACTATGGTACTGCAGCCGACACCGAACAACAATGCAACGAAAATCAGAATAGGTAAACACATGTTTTAATCACCGGCATCATACAAACCCAAACATAAATTGGGTATGGACTAAATTTGTGGTTTTTGTGGTTCTTTTTGTTTGCAATAGAAACCGTCATCAACGTCAAAAGCAAAACAATTGGATTACATTGTGCTTTAATGAGAAGAAAATGGTCAAAGACAAGGACAAAGACATTCCACGTCCGTCTCCTGAGTCAGTGTTGCACTTATAAATTTTAATGCATCATATTTTTTTTCGTATCGCTTGAATTTTTACATTTCATATTAGATAAGCATTTATTCATCATTTGCACATCATCTGCACCATCGAATGACATTGTAGTGTTAAGATAAGATGTAAACAAATTATTTATTTATTATAGTATTCGCCAAACGTGTAGTGTTGAAAAAAAGTGGACATTTTAATTTTGTTCTTCATTGGATGTTCATTTGACTTTCCAACAAAAAGACAAAAAAAGTATCACTTACAAAAAAAAAAACAAATGAATATACCAAAATCTTTCTTTTATTTTGTTCAATATCTAATGAACAAAAACAATCAAAAAAGTTGAAATTAGTTTAGAGAAATTAACAAACGAATTTTGTCATCTAATTCCATATTTTTTTTTTTTTTAATGCTTGGATTTGTTTTCAGTAGATAATCATACAAAAATGGATCTAAATGATCTCAATGCACATCGACTGAATGGTTTCTTCACACAATACTTACTTTACTTTACTATAAAATGGACTTCTCCGTTAAATAAAATATAAAAAAGAAAAGTAAGTTTATCGTTACTACTCTGTAGATAGTGAATGTTGGCAAAGTATGTAATCATGCTTGTTTTTATTTGATACATAGATCATTTTCAATGAAACTCTATTAGCTCCATATTAGGTGTGACATAAATTGATTCATTTGTTCATTCACTCAAAAACAAATAGAATCCAAAGAAAGTTTTTTTATTCATTTCAGAACGTCTGTGTGATGCATCTCCAATATATTTAGCAAATCCAAACATATTTTTCTGTATATTTTTTTGAACATAAGAATAAGAAATATTTAAAATTATTTATCATATTTCTTGAACATATTTTGTGATGTTTTCGTACTTAAACTCAGAGCATATACTGAGCATAGATATATATCCGGGATATTTTGTGAGTATCCGATATTTATCGCAGCCAGACATTATAATGGAGTGAAAACAATAGAAGTGATTGTTATAGGTCTAAGTATAAAACCATTTACATTACTACAATCACTATAACAATAACTTCTATTGTTTTTACTCTATTTCAAAGTCTGGCCCCAATGAATATCAGATACTGACAAAATATCCAGGATATATATCTATGCTTAGTATATGCTCTGCAAAAACTAAACGCGACGTATATATATATAAATAAAAACGATTTGTTCACAAATTTTAACAAGATAAATAAATGTATGTGCATTTTAAAGTATTAAAAATAAATGAATATCGATGTTTTTACCTTATAAGTTATGATTAATTTGACAGAGAATTTTTTTAAAATATAAAAATGGACCAAGTGTTGTTATCGATAGAAATTGCCACGGATGAATTTTAAATATATATTATTATACGTATATATCCAATATGTGAAATGGAACGCATGTTAGGTCACTTTCATTTTTTTTCAATTCTATTCCAAAAAAAAATCAAATCAACTTTTTATATTCATCAATTATCTAAAGTTTAGAAACAAACAAAACATGCGATATTTTTTATCCCAAGTAAGATTTTTGAGAGTACAAAAGTAAAATTGCCAACTACATTTCATGTATTTGTCAAATTCTGAGACGCTGTAAATTATAAAGTGTCTTCCTGATCGTCGTCAATTGAAATTAGGAATTTTAGCTCAAATTTAATAAAACGGACTATTAACTGGAGTCAGATTATGAGAAAAAGACAACTTCTGGACACAATGCTAGTTTCTTTTATACAACTCGAACCAATCGGTAATTCATTGGCCCCGAAATAATTAAGATCACCCGAACAAATAATGTGTTCAAAACAAGTACATTGTTCTAGAATGATTTATTATTGAATATGAAAATAATCTACACGATTAAATAAAATTTGTAATTTATTTACGAATACACAATCAATTATAAAAAATTAAAATTCATTCTCAACAGTTGAAGGGGTTTTAATTTTAACGTTAAGAATAAATTTTATGTGCAAATTATTGTTGTATATTTTTTAATGGTGGAATAAATCTATGAAGATGTAATCTTTCGGACATGACGCTACGTGGGCAAGAAGTAACATCAACTATAAGCAGTGTCCAGTAGAGTCGCTGAACGAATAATACGTTTTTAAGGTTTAAAAGATTGTAGAGTTTACAGCTAGGTTTTCGGTCAAAGGTGTTTCTTGGTGTAGCCAAAAATTTGTATAGATTACATCCCACATCGAATAACCAAGAGAACATTATTTAAATTTCAGTTTGAAGTTAAAAAAGATGTTATGAGGGACCTAATTCCGATCGAACTATCAATTCAAAATAGTATTATGAGCGATATACTAAATGTTAACATTATTTTAAAAAAATAAAATCCAAATATCAAAACTGAACGTATTAAATCAAAGTGTATGTTTGTATGCTATGGAAAATTTAAAAAGTAAAAGGTAAGTAACGGTTATCTAAATATTAATCCGAACTTGATGATGACGATCTTTTGTGAGACCGTTTTTTGGTAGCACGTTTTTTGGCTTTGGCTTTGTCACCATTTTTAATTCGTTTGGATTTTTTATGCTTCGAATTATCCGAATCACTGGATGAGGTACTTGTTGATGTTGTTGAGCTACTACTGCTACTACTGGTACTGCTTGACGTCGAGGACGATGAAGATGATGACGAACTTTCACTGTCCGATGAACTTGAGGAACTGATTAAATACATATTCAATCAATAATATTATCAAATAAAACAATATAACGCTAAATCTCACCTTTTCTTTCGCTTTCGTTTTAATCTTTTTTCTTCGTTTTTCTTGTCTTTGGATCGTTTTGACCGTGATTGTAGTTCGCGTTCTTTTTGTAAAAGCTCTTCCTTTCGTAAACCGGTGAGTGGTGTTAAATAGTCCGTTTCGGAGTCGCTACTTGTACTGCTGACATCAAGTTGAATTTCTTTATTCGGGTCAATCTAAATAGATTGATGATAAGATTTATTTGGATTTGCGCATTCAAAATTAATTTCTATGGACAACAAACCTTGATAAAGTTGCGGCATTGAAACGTTAGGTGTCCAGCATAACCACACTTTTTGCAAGCAGCACGAACAGTCTCTTTTGATGAGCCACTGTATCCACCGTATTCCATTTTCTAATGATGAAAACTTTTATTTGAATTCTAATGCAAGATGCGGTATATTCTTTTCTTCTGATCAACTCTAGGGTATATTCGTCGAATTGAATAGCGTTGACATTCCAGAATAAGAATCGTGTCCACAAACAATAATTCAGCTGTCATTATGTTTGCGATAACTGCCACCTAATGATAGGTATTGCCACTGCAGCGGTAATTTTTTCTAATCGGCAACATAAAAACAAACCATTTATGTGGACATTTCAGTTTTTTATTGAAAAATATTTATTTCAACTAATCTAAATATTTTGAAATGAAATGATGCTTTAATACGGACGCTTTTAGCTGTGTTCCTTTTACAACAAACTCTTGTGATTTTGTTCTCGGTGGCAAATGTAAAAGTACGTCTGCATCTGTGATGCTTGTTAATCGGCTGCTGATCTGTATAAAATAAGTTTTTTTCGAATTATTCATTAACAATAATGTATTTTAAATGATGTGTACTTGATTGTCTGTGATTTCGGCAAAAAATTTCCCCTGTCGACATGAAAATGAAATCTGAGCACGGGCATATTCGGGACGTGGATCCAATTCGACTTGTGTATTTAACAGCTATTAATAAAAAAAAAGAGGTAATTTCTCAAATAAAAATTATACAAATTATTTTACTTCAGCATAGATGATTGGTAATGATAGCTTATGTTCGCTGTAGCCACAATATTTTCGGAGTGCTGGTAAAACAAACAAATGAAATGTTGCAAAAGCCGATACCTGTAGAGAATATAATGATATAATTATTCTATTTAGGAGAATTTTAATTTTCCTAATATTTACCGGATTGCCTAAAAGAAATGGAAAATAGTGATGATTCCAGTGCCGATGTAGATTGTAGAAGGATAATAGAAAAGAGATCATTTGAAAATGTGGTTTCATTCCAAAGAAATTAATTAATAAAATCGACTTAATACAAACCTGGTAATCCAAACAAATATGAATGTGTATTTGTTGTTTCACGTGCAGCAAACGTCATTGGCTTTCTAAATTGAAAATAATCATTGTCGATTAAAAATGTATGAAGATTGGTTTTCTATATGGTGGTCTTACCCTGGTTTCATGTTGACTCGACCAAAATAAATTTTGAAGCCTAATTCCTTCAGAACTGGTTTTAGAAAGTCCTTGTCTCCCATTGACACACTGCCAGAACAAATTATGAATGTATTGTTCTCAGCCTGAGTTTTGATCGCTTCGTGCATGGCATTAAACCTTTGTGGATATAAACAAAATCTCTTACATAAATAATAATGACCATACTAAGTTCGTTTCTTATAAATCTTACGTATCACTCAATGTCAATGTGCTAATTTTTTTAAAACCATTCAATTCGAGTAGTGTACGTAGCATTGTTGTATTGGAATCGTAGATTTTTCCTGGTTTTAGCGGTTGACCGGGCTCGGTCAGTTCATCTCCAGTCGATAAAATGCAGATATGCACTTCACTCAAGTCGACGGCAGCCACACCAACGCTAGCCAAAAGGGATTTATACACAACAATATCGGGAAAATCATTTCGTCCTTTAAAAAGTAGGTCTCCTTTCGCAAGATCACTACCGACTGGCCTGAAATATACAAGAAGCAAAACAAATGACCGATCAGTAAAAACATATTAAACATATTAAATTTTACCGTATGTCTAATCCGGTCGTTGGTTCCAATAAAATATCAACAATTTGTTCAATTTCATTTTCTGCCTTTATCAACTTTGTATCCTCCACTTGTACGATTGCATTGGCAAAATCTGGTACAGCAGCACCAGTGTTGATTTTAAAACAGCTATCGCTATCAAAATCTTGGCGTATAACATCTTCGCCAGCACTAATGTAGCCGATCACTTTTTTTACCCCTTTACATGAGCCATTCGCTTTAACAGCGTATCCATCTTTGATTGATGCTCTAAATTCCGGAATATTAATAGGGCTCTTAAAATATTGATGTGAAAATTCGACATTTTTAATTGCATTAAATATTTTCAAAAGAGCATCTTCGACAGGGATCATTGGAAATGGTGAATTTCGGTCATCATCTCCACCGGTGCCTGTTTTGTGTGGACAAATATGTTTATTTACTGAAGTATTTTGACCAATTTGTTCTGCTTGAGATTCTCCATGTGATTTTCGTACATTGTCTTGATGGCCATTAATCAGGTCAATCGCATGAGGTAAAACATCAACAATTGCCATAAAACACTCTTCAACAGCTTTTGGGCTGCCCTAAAAAATCAAATAAAAATCGAAATTTGAAAAAAAGTGTAATTTAAAAAAAAAAAAAGAATCTATTCATTTACTTGCCGGCATATTACAAATCAACGTTTTATTGCGTATGCCACAAACAGCGCGTGATAGAGCCGCAAATTGTGTTTTTTGAAAGCTGCATAACGACATAGCCAGCGACAGTTGATTCGCTTCTTTTTGAATTACATTTCGTGTTGCCTCGGGTGTAACATCTCGTGGGCTAAAACCAGTTCCACCAGTTGTCAAAATCAGTTGAAGTGATAATTGATCAGCCATGCGAAGCAATTCAGCCTTAAAACATTGATTGATTAGAATAAAATATTTGGACAATTTTATCGCGAAAAGGTCAAATGCAAAAAATCAATTGAGCACAGATGTTTTTTCAGTTGAGTAAGCATGATTTTTCAATTTTGTTCATTGAGCATATGGTGTAATGATATAGTCGGTGCGGCAATGATGTCTAATAATAGGCTACGATATTGACCCAAAGCCGTAGATAATTAAAGTTACCTCAATTCTGTCCATTTCATCAGGAATCAATGCACTTGTTATCGAAGCATCAAAAAATTTCGTTACTAAGTTTCTAAGTTTTTGACCGCTTTTATCTTCTGCTTCACCTGATGAACATCGATCGCTCACTATAAAATATGAATTTTTAACAGAAAATTATGTAAAAATATCTAACCGTTTTTTGGTATACAAAAGAATGAAAATGAATGTAATACCAGTGATTATTCCAACACGTAAGTCGTTCATTGTTGTAGAAAGTAGAACGTTGAATGATATTTTTATTTTATTCAAGTGATTTTTATCTCTATAGCTCAGATAACCTGTGATGCTCCGCTATCGGTGTTTGTTTACATCTAAAAATGTGCTTGATATTGCATAAGGAAGTATATAAAGTGATATTGTCTTATCTTACTATAACAAAAACACCGTTTAACAGTAAAACCATGAATACATGATATTCACTCAATTATTCTCTTTGGGAATCTAATTTTAAATCGTCAATGAAAATGTCAAACTAATTAATGTTAATTGTGAATTAGAACTTAGTTTTAGAAAGAATGTTACTTAATTGAAGTATATTGGATTATTGGATTGTATATAAATTACAATACTAAAACAATAAAATAATATCAAGAGTTACCTCTTAAATCAAACTTTACGCAATAGTTTCGTATTTTCAGTACACTTTACTGAAGCAACCTGCTAACACATGGTATAAACAATTATTATAACTATGGAAGCAATAGCACAGTTTTTCATAGCAATAACCTAGCAAATAACAAATACATAATAACTGTAATATATAGTAATAATTCATTAGATTTGCCAATTTATTTTCTTAAAATAAATACATACATACGTTGTTAATGTTGATGTAGAGTTTTTTGTACCGCATACATGTCAAAACATCATACACTGTTAACACTATTACATATTGATTGTATGATACTTTTGACATTTGGCACACATGTCAGAATAGCTAGGACGCCATTTTTTCTTTCTCTAATTACAATACGTGCGAATAGTAATTTTTCATTTGATATTGAATAAACAGTCTCAGATTTTATCATTGTTCATGCTGGCAAACGCTTTCAAACACATTGATTTTTCGATAGAATCATTGCTGCCTATAATATTTCTGCGCTAATACTAACTATAAAATCAAAAGTGTTGTTAAAAATAGAAAATTAAAGTTGTTAAATTTATTTGTTATAACACGTAATTAATATGGTGGACACGGCAAGGCAACTGCTGGATGAGTTGATGGGTAGAAATCGAAATTTGGACCCAAACACAGCAAAAACGAAAAAAATTCAATGGAATGATCCGGAAGTAGGCTAAATACAAACACAATTACTATTTCTTCATCAAATCATAATGAATGTAATTTTTTTTCGCAGTATTGTTTGTATTATTTGGTGAAATTTTGTCCCCATGATTTATTTGTGAATACAAGAGCTGACTTAGGGCAATGCACAAAATTACACGACGATGAAGCGAAACGGTTGTTTGAAGAGGAAAGACCATGGGCCCGGAAACGAAGCTATGAAGATGAATTTCTTCGATTTAGTAATCACATGATAAATGAAGTGGACCGTAAAATTGAAAAAGGACGACAACGTTTGGCATTGATGAATAAAGTTCCCGATGGAGCTACACCACCAGCGCCACCATTAACCAAGTTCCAAGAAATGATGAATAATATGAATGCTCGAATTAATAAATTAATAGGCGAGGCTGAAGAAGCCGGCAGCCGAGGTGATGTTGAACAAGCACAAAATCTCATGACCTTATGCGACCAAGTTAAGGAGGAAAAAGATGCGCTTATTAAAACTCATGAAAGTGAACAAAACTCGGAAAATGGGTCAAAATCCCAATGGAACGAATATGCATCGAATGAAAAACAAAGTATGTATATATTAATTTTCGGCAAATATAAATTGCATGTGGAATGATTCCAAATATCAATTTCAGTGGAGGTTTGTGAAGTATGTGGTGCTTTTTTAATTGTTGGTGACGCTCAACAGCGTATTGAAGACCATTTGTCAGGTAAACAACATTTGGGCTACTCAAAACTTCGTAAAGCCGTTGAAGAAATGTATGAGAAACGACAAAAAGAACGTGAAAAAGAGGACAAAGAGCGTAATCGAGGAAGACGAGATGATTTTGATCGACGTAGAGATAATAATCGAGATCGTAGGGACAGAGATCGACGTAATCGAAGCCGAGACCGAAATCAGCATCGAGACCGACGATGTAAGTTGAAGTATTCAAATTAAAAAAAAATCAAATTTAGGTTTTTTATTTTAAATTTTGGTTACTTGATTTTTTTTTTCGTTTAGCCGATGACAGAGACCGTCGTGATCACCGCTATAATCGTGACAGACGTAGACGTAGTAGTCGCAGTCGCAGCTCAAGCAGACACTAAAATTCAATTCGATAGTCACACAAGTGCAAGGCGCCATAATCAATTAATTTTAAATGAGGTACCCTCAAAACTTACAAAAAAAGCTCAAAAAACCAACACGAATCAGGTAAGTGATTGTTACAAAAATTTATGTGTGTTCATATACACACACATACACATACAAAACACAAGTCTCAATCATAGCAAACAACTTGAGCGCACTATGTACGCATCTTATTTTATAATTGTATATAAAATTTAATCAAAATGACAATGAATAAAAGAAAAAAATAGACTGTGTCCACCAGGTTAGTTTAAAAAAAAAACATGAGAATAATTGTTTAAGTTAAGAATCAACGTTTGAACATTCGTGTCAGCAAAGAAACCGTAGAATCTATATAGCTTAACATAAGCATGCATCAAAAAAATAGATCGTTTTTCCTCCTTTTTTTAAATTTATTTTTAACGTTCATTTAATTGAGACAAGTCGAGATTTATTTTTTATAAGAGTTAATTTGCACACATACACACACACATACTTTATATATATACAAGTCGTCTATTCTGTTTAGCCCATATAATTTGCATTGTAAATGGGCGAGAACATACCGAACATACTTTCAATCAAACCAATTTACTGGCGAGTGATCGTTCCAAAGCAAATGAGGTACTTTTATCATTTTTAAAATTAAGCTTGAAACATTAAACGAATAAATAATTGGACATATATAATCGAATGACATGCGTCAAGAGAATCACAACCGACACAAAAACACAGACAGAGGGCAACTGGATTGTGACATTTTTGCTATCTGAACCAGATTATATCGAATCTGCTGCTTTAAAAAACATACACACACAATTATCTCGAACCTAATAACTCTTTAAATTTGAGGTATTTTACATGCATTTATGGGCAAATCGAACAAAAAAAAAACAATCTTGAACTTATCACAAAGGCAACGATTTTCAATATTTTTTTACTGTTAACCCATTCGAGTGTGTCGAAAAATATGAAACCATTTCCTGCATTGCCAATAAAAAATACTAAATTGTTTCTTTTTTAATACTACGTAGGTTGCTCCATAATTTTTTTTAAAATGGTACTTATAGTGTTGCCCGATGTAAACCATTCTCATATTCGTAAAGTTTGATGTTTTGGTATGTATTCGTGCCCTGAACCTTTTGTCGTACGAACGCTATTTGTATTGTTTACAGTGACTGGTAAACTGCGACTCAACAAAAAAATGAATTTTACACGTGAAGATTTTCGTAAAATGATTTACTACGATTTTCGAAGTAAATTATCTCAACAACAGTGTTTCGATCGACTTCATTTGGCCTTTGGCAATGAAGCACCAACCCTTCAGACAATTTATAACTGGACCGAGAATTCCGTTGCGGTCGTAGTTCGCTCAAAGACGAGTTTCATACAGGTCGTCCAAAATCGGCTGTTGTGCCACAAAACATCGATGCTGTCAGAAAACTGATTATGGAAGATCGTCATGTGACCTACCGTGAGATTGAGGCATCTTTGGGCATTTCATCCCACAGCATACATACAATTTTGCATGAACATTTAGCCGTAAAAAAGATTTGCTCTCGTTGGATCCCACATAAATTGACCGATGAACAAAAAATGGCTCGTGTGAGTTGGTGTAAAGAAATGCTCAAGAAATTCAATCGTGGTGCTTCAAAAGACGTTAATAAAATCGTCACTGGTGACGAATCGTGGATATATGCCTATGAGCCCGAAACGAAACAGCAGTCGACTGTATGGGTCTTCCAAAATGAAGATAACCCAACGAAAGTTGTTCGAGCAAGAAGCACTTCGAAGCGAATGGTCGCCTGTTTTTTCGGGAGAAGTGGTCATGTGGCAACCGTTCCACTAGAGGATCGTAAGACCGTCAATTCTGATTGGTATACCACCATTTGTTTGCCCGAAGTGTTTGGTGAAATAAGAAAAAACAACCACCGTCGCAAAATAATTCTTCATCACGATAATGCGAGCTCTCACACATCTTTTCAAACTACTCGATTTTTGACCGGTCAAAACATCGAACTGATGGGTCATCCACCGTACAGTCCTGACCTGGCACCCAATGACTTTTTTTTGTTCCCAAGCGTGAAGAAAAAACTACGTGGTCAACGATTTTCGACACCAGAAGAAGCAGTTGAAGCGTTCAAAACACACGTTTTGGAGATATCAGTTTCGGAGTGGCACGAATGCTATGACAAATGGTTTCATCGAATGCAAAAGTGTATCGATCATCTCGGGGAATATTTTGAAAAACAATAAAACCATTTTCGACAAAAAACAACTGTGTTATATATGTTTTTAAAAAAAATTATGGAGCAACCCTCGTAGTTGTATATAAACAGAAAATGGTTTTATATTTTAGCGCAATTTTTTTTAGAGAAGAGCAAAATTGCTAAAGATTTCTGTTTGAATCACAAGCTGCTTTTATTTCTGTTCCAGTTCTGTTTTCATTAATGGTCACTGTTTTCTCATTTCAGCTTTTGCGACACTTGAATTACCAAATGGGTTTAAAGTCTTTACGGCCAGTTACTTTTGTGAAAGTAAATATTCAACGTTTTAGGATAATTTGTTGGAGCGTTCGAGGTAATTAAAATTGACAAACATAGAAAAAACCTAAATCGTCCACAGAAAGAATTACCAATTCTAGCTATCGATTAGAATGCTCAAAACAACACTACCAACTATAACAACACTGGCCAATGTCATCTAACCGAGAATAGAAACATACATTCAAGGTGCGCTCTGAACATTTTTTCATAAAAAATAAATTAAAATAATTTTGAAACATTTACACGTCTCCTACCGTAATTGTAACGTTTAGTCAAGTCGCAAACTTTAACCCAAAAAATCATTTAGTTTATATATATTTTGGAAATAAAAAAAGTGAATATAAGAAACACAGGGCGCCTTCAATTCTGACTTTAGAAAAAGAGAATTGAATTAATATTGCATTTAGACTATAGTTATATTTTATTTTAAGCAATTTAAAATAATTTCAAAATTATTCAGAGAAATTTGAAAAAGAAACCATTTTTTTGGTCAAGATCAGCACAAATAACCACAAGTTTCAAGTAGGCAAAAAACGATATACATTTCGTTTCCACATCAATTTAAAATTAGTAACGATTCTCGCTTTGGTTACGCAGCCAACTTTGATTTTCTGTTTGGAACATTTCAAAGAAGAAATAAAAAAAATTCTAAAATCAAAACAAGCACAATTTTTTTGTATTATTTTTTTAATGAAAGTTTTGGATTTCTTCCAGCGTTTTACTTTTCCGCACACACCTAGTGTGTAAGGTAAAGTATTGGAATCGGTCGAAAAGTTAACACCCTCAAAAAACGTATTTTCTGGGTGTTTTAGGAGCCAGGGAACACGAATCTAGTGTTTTTTCTATGTCCGAACGTATGTGCGTGGTACCCTGTACGCTGTACGCAAAAATTTGTTAACACGATAACTTTCAAACCAGAAAAGTAATTCAAAATCTGACTGCACAGGATTTTGAGCGACTTTGGTTGATACAGTGAAGTGTCATGTCTGGTGTGATGCTCATGGCCATCCATGGGAAAAATTCAATTTTTCTTCCAAAAATGATATTTAATGTATTCTTAAACACTCAAAAATATGTATTGGGGGGTTTTTGGGTACGAGAAAACTGAATCTGATATTAGTTTTGCGATACAAATAATTTTCGACACACTCTTCATCGAGTATCACTTACAGTCGGCTTTCAACGCGACTCGATATAAGAAGCGCCATCTCTTTCACGCCAGGTTCTCATATATTTTTTTCTTGCAAATATTTTTTTGTTGCTAAATTGTATAAATTGAATAAGTTTTGCAATAATAATAACGAAAATAATTAATAGAATTTATAATAAATAAAAAAAATTGAAAAAACACACAAATATTTTATATTATATGATTCACCAGAATAGCTTCACTTCGTGTTGTTTACGTTATTTCTTTTGACAGATATCAATGTTTGACAAATACATATTTTCTCCACGTAACCATCTCTACATGGTTTACAAGGCAAAGCTACATATCATATAATATAAAATATTTGTGTGTTTTTTTCAATTTTTTTTATTTATTATAAATTCTATTAATTATTTTCGCTATTATTATTGCAAAACTTATTCAATTTATACAATTTTGTAATTTTATTTGCAAGAAAAAAATATATGAGAACCTGGCGTGAAAGAGATGGCGCTTCTTAAATCGAGTCGCGTTCAAATACATTGTCAATATACAACGCAAGTGATACTCGCTTTTCATACAAAAATTTCAAAAAAATTGGATTTCTGTATGGAAGCCATGCCTGTTACTTTTCCGCATACCTACACTAGAAAGGTATTGTATTAGGCCAAAAAATTAAAGTCACCTCAAAACATGTTTTCTATGCATATTTCATATAGAAAAGTCGATTGGAGATGATTTTGGGGCATATTAATGTGCGTCGCTGTGTGTGATGTGTCCTGTGTCCTGTGGCGTGTTGCCAAAATTTTTTAACACGATAAATCTTCTTCCAAAAACTCAATTCAAATTCTGACATTGCAGGATGATTTGGGACTACTTGGAGACGTGCTGATTAGTTTTTGAGCAATATCTGTTGACCGTTGTAATTTTTGGTCCCAATGGAGTACCCACAATCATACATTTTTGACCATTTTTCAACCATTTTGGTGACACGATGGTTTCGTGCTCAGACATAAAATTCAAAATCTGACTTTACGGGATGATTGGGCACTACGAGGAATTGATTTGGTCAAATTTTCAACGACATTGATTGATCGGTGTAACACTTAGACTCTGAAGAGGCACTTATGAGAAAAATGTCTTAAAATGATATTCTTTCAATTTGAACGCTGAAAGAATGTTTAGTGGGGGTTTTTTTGGCACGAGAAACCCGAATCTGATGTTAATTTTAAGATGCAATCAATTTTTCACAGTCTTTTCATACAAAAATCCACAAAAATTTCATTTTTGTATGAAAGACTTGCCTTTGTGGTACCGTAATGATGTGAAACTTTGAACAGGCTATTTTTTTATTGAAATTTCTTTAAACTTGGTGTGATTATTTATTTTGATAAGAAAATAATATTCACAAGTTTTCACGGTAATTTAAGTTACTGCAACCATACATAGACCATAATTTCAGTTTATTCGCAAAATTTCGGTTCCATGCGGAAAAGTCAGCTTGCGTACGTAAGCCTCTTTATATGATATCGTAATAAGCTGAAACTTTGCACAGCTTATTATTATCACACAAAAGTAACATTCTGAGAGTTTGAAGAAAGTTTAATGCATATTAGGGGTACCTCCCAAACAAAATTTTAGATTTTTCGCTCAAAAATGAAAGAAGCGATAAGATGCCTGAAATGATAAAAAAATAAAATTCACGTATAGTTGGCGCTACATTCTATGTAATAAGCGTATACTTTCCTCTTAGTCCGTTGCAATGGAAAACAAGTTTGCATAGAATGCAGCGCCAACTATATGTGCATTTTATTTTTTATCGTTTTAGGCAATAAATCTATGGTTTTCTTATGGCTTCTTTTGTTTGGGAAGTACCCTAACATACATTGACATTTCTTCAAATTTGCTGAGATTATGTAGTTTGGCAAGAAAATGAGATTTACAAGTTCTCATTGTTATAAAATTACTGTAACTACACATCCTAGGAAAAATCCGATCAATTTTGAATCAACAAAACGCAATAAATGTTTGTTTGAAGTAATTTGATCACCATGAAAACTTGTGAATCTTATTTTCTTGACAAAATTTACAATCTCAGCAAATTTAAAGAAATAGAATTTGGGAGTACCTCCCATACAAAATTTTGTATTAAAATTTCTTCAAACTTTCAGAATGGTACTTTTGTGTGAAAAAAAATACCCTGTGCAAAGTTTCACGTAATTACGATATCATACAGTCATTGAGAAATGTATCATAAATTATTTGTAATAAATTAATGTTGTGGATCACATTGCGGAAAAGTTCATCTTACGGATGTAAGACATTTTATTAAAAATAAAAATTGAAAAACATTTATCTTGGTTAAGATATTTATATTTAATCAATATAGGATTTTCAATGAATTTAACTAAATTAGTTAAAGTAAAAGAAATTTTACAATTTTTTCTTTTTCTTCATTAATGTGTTGAATGGATTTATACGTCCAGTCGATTTACCTAGAGTTGATCAGAAGATAAGAATGGAAAAAATGGAAATTAATCAATATGTAGTAATGGAACAGAATGGCAAATGAATCGAAGGAATGGATCAGGAATTGTAGAGTAATGGAATAGTAATTTTTAAATAAGTATGCCCTTACCAGTAGATTTACGTTTCTTTTGTTTGCTATTTGACTCTTCTCCGTCACTAAAAAGAAAATAAAAATAAACATTTAATAAATCTAAAAGATAGAGATTTCAATGAGTACAGTAATTCTTCATTCTTACACAACAGTTGGCATGCTTTTAAAGATTTCATCAAATTCCTTCTCTTCGTCGTCATTGTTGTCGTCACTACTGGTGGCCTGCACTTTTGACATATTTTTTTCATCAGAATTCTCACTTTCGTCCTTTACTTTGACCGGAGTGTAGTTTTTCAGTAACATTCTAGTGGCTTTCGATTTGACATAACATTGATACTGTAAAACAGTTGATTCAGCATGATGAACTCGCACAAATCGGTCAAGCGAAGCACTGTAAACGAATTTTCCGCTGCTATCTACTCCAATATCACTGATACTACCAGCAAATCCTTTGTATGTATGCAACACATGTTTCATTTTACGTGTATCAAATGCATGCATTACACCTGTCAAAATTAGAAAAATTAATTTAAAAAAAAAATCGCCATTTATTTCGCTTCATACCTGTTGTTGTTCCGGCAAATACAACATCACCATGTAGTGCTAGACAAGTGTAGCTGATTTGTTCTTTATCGTTTGTATAGTTAAAAAGTGGACGGCGTTGTTCTCTCATGTCGTAATATCGTATGTATCCATACCGTGAACAAGTTGACAAGCAATTGGCATCCATGAATCCAAAATCGGTGTCCCATATCGGAACTTCCAATTGCAAAAAATCGTTGGGCACATTTTTCGTTTTGAAAATACATTGATTCGATTCTAAATTCCATACTTTCAAATTATTTTGTCGTTCTTTTCCGCCAGTAGCAATTAATTTCCGACTCACATCGCATTGTCTCATTCGGGACATTGCATCGCCTGTTTCTAAGAAGGTCGCTTTTGAACCTTGAATTTGAATTTTACCATTGCCCAACCCGGCAATGATTTTACCATTAAATTTTGCGATTCCAACAATTGGACCATGCTCAAATGTATGGTTGGCGGTAAAAGCGTGTAATTTTGGCTCATATAATTTTACTACAGGTTCTACGCGACCAATTAATATTTCATCCACATCATCTCCAAAATTTAACGCTGTAATTCGGCTTGTTTTTGTTAGAGACTGGATTTCTTCCAAATTAGTTTGTTTGTGTGGATTTTCATCAGTCAAACCAATACCTTAAAATATATAACACATTCTTTCCAAGTTATATGTAACATCATAAAATCTGAATGGAAAAACAAAATAAAATGCTTACGTTTTATGGATCCAGTATGTGTGCCGACGAAAATTTCGTGATTTTCCACATAAGCTGGATTTTTAATATTTGCCGTCGATATTTTCATATTTAATATGTTTGAATAAACACTGTATTATGAGCACATGGACTAAAACTGATGCCCAATATGTCATTTGGTCTACTATTTTGACGTTTGCTTTGTATTTGTATATGAGTGTATGTCTTTTTGTGTTTTTTCAACGCCATCTCGTGATCATAAGTTTAATTTCGATATTCTGGCTGTTCAGTCCGGTTCAGTTTCACAATACAATACAACACACACTTACACTCAAATGTAATTTTCAATCATTTTTTTTTTATTTCAGATCAAAAAGGTGGAAAAAACAACAGACTCAATTCTGAATGCAATAGAATTTATTTGTTGAAAATAAAAGAATTTTTTTTATTAAACTATGTAATGAATGTAGGATTTTATATACGAATCTCGATGTTTTATTGATTCAATTACGTGGCTGCTGTTGATTAGGGAAATATTTTTGGCTACTTAATGGTTATATTTTTGAAAATGAATTAGAATTTGGATAGAGAAGAAAATAGTCATATTCATATACGTGGTCTAATTTAACAGCTTGGGTTCGGGGATTTTTTTTTTCAATTTATGAATGTGAGAAAGGTGTTTATTTTTTCTTTGAGGCACACTCAGCAACGAGCTGCTTCAGAGCACTGACGATGCTAACAGCACTACACGATCCCACCTGTTTCAAATAAAAAAGTTTAGTTAAACGACAAATTTGAATATTATATACTGATTGAACTCACAGATTTAACCAATTGTTCCAACAGAACCTGAAGCGAGCGTTCAATTTCACTTCTTGCGATGTCGAGACAAATTGCTCTTTGCCTAAAAAATTAATTGAAATTTAATCGAAACTAAAAAAAGTAAACTTCCAGCTAAATCATGTAAAACAATTACGTTGGTTTTTTGCTCTCCTCACAGATTTGGATTTGATTATAGTATGCTTCGCTATAAATCTTGAAATCTTTTAATAATTCGGCAGCTGATTCGTCTTCCAGTTTTTTGGCCAGTTGCAAAATGCCTTTCTATTATATATATAAAAAAAACAACATAATATAATAATTAAATAACAGAAAAAGATGCATATGAGTTATTTTTAGAATTTACTTACCGTAACACATTTCTTTGTATTGAGACAGTCTTTTGTTGGAATGAAGAATGGATTGCAATCACCGTCGCCCGAGCACTAAATTATTTTTGGAAAAGAAAAAAATGTTGTAGCAAAACAAATTTAAAAAAAGTTCAAACTGAATGTGAACACATACAATTGGTTTGCAATCTTTATTGATGCAATCGGTAAGAATTTTATTAATATCTGATACAAATTCTTCATATCCTTCATCTCCAGCAATCTATAAAATATAAAAATTATAGGATTTTACATAGATATTTTTTTTTATGATGAAAGAAAATTCCGTACCCCATGAAGCCATTTTTGATATCTGCACTGGAAGCGATCAAAGGCAGCGCTTGAACATTCACTATAAAAAAGATGTAACATTTTATGAAAAATTCTGAAAATGTTGGAAATATAAAAAAGAAGGACTTACATAAATTCGTTAGGATTACAGATATTTTGACATCCTTGAATGCACAAGCAACGTTCTTGAACGAGTTGAAGATAAGCGGATAGCCATTTCTTTGGATATTTGCCATCTTTTTGATTTTGAAGCCCTTTAATTGCTTTCTGAAGCGATGGAAAAAAGTTGAAAGTATGAATGTTATGAGCAACATCATTTTCAGAAGAACTTGAAACATATCAACACTTACAACTAAGCACACACAATTTTTCTCTTCACACGAAACGTCCGTGCACTCTTTTTCACGGCAATAACAATTTTTTCCATCGATAACTTTATTGAATGGTGGGGGTACATCGCCACAAGCTACGAACGCCACTACCGACAGGAACCCTATTATCATTAATTTCATTTTAAACGATGGAATCGAATTTAATTGTTACAATTTGATTTAGAAAAATTGAGGACAATTTCAAGATGAGATTCAAATTCCTACTGAATTGCTCAAGCATCATCCTACCTTTATATCATTCATGTCTTGAATTCAGTCAAGATAAATTGTGCAATTGCATCGCACGATTTAAATATACTGCAAAATCGTTGGCAAATTGCATTGCAATGTGAAATCACAAATGTTTCGATTTACGTTACGGGCAATGTAAATAGAACACAATATTTTTTTCACCATTTTTTGCATTTGTCTGGCATATTTCGATTTGCACAATTCTTAAATTTACACAACCATTTGTGTGGCAACAGAGAATAGACGTGTGAGTTTAAAACACCCCATTTTAAATATAATCGCTGTCTCAATGTCATGAAATTCGTTGAATATGAGGAAATCACGAGAAAATACAGATTTTATTCATTGTGAACAAGTCTAAATAAAAAAAATATATTAAGAAAATATTGGCAATTTTTTGTGCACTTGCCGATGAATCAATGAGAAAGAAAACTTTTCAACTTTTTATTGCAACGCATTTATTTTTGACCTTTTATTTTGCAAACCATTAAAAAGCACAATTTAAAAATAACAATACATTTATTTCAAAATATCATGTGCACTTATTGTAAAATATACCATTATTTATGGTTGAATTGACAAATATGACACTATACAAATAAAATTTAAATATAAAAAAATAGTTTTTTTATTTATAAAAAAAAATAAGGAAAATGTATTGTTCTATTCAAAGTTGTTTAGTTGCATCCCGAAACTAAACAGTTTCATCGGTTTGATCTCCAAAATCTTCCAATGTCACTTCTCTTGCAATCTTTTCGTTGCGAATTTTCTCGTTCTCACGATCCTCTAGTAGTTGTGCAATGAGTATAAAAAATGTGAATGCCAAATAGATAATGCCCAGGCCAGAGAAAAAGACTGTCACCAACATATTTTTTTACTATATATGCAATTTGATTTCGTTTTAATTCAATGTATTGAAAATTATTACAATTTTTAAATGTAGTCACCAATTTCTGAATAAAAACAACAACGTTTTCTTTTCAGACTCAAATTGAATGTACGTTTTCTCTCAGACTCAAATAAAAAACAAACTGATGCAATACAATGTATGAGCATCTGGTTTCTAGACACGCATGATAGCTGAACACATGACGCTAAAATACAATTGACAGCAACAAAAAAAATATGCAATGACATTTGATAAGAAATTGTAAGTTTTATTGAAGTGGCACATTTAAAAGTATATTTAATAAATGCAAAATAAGTTCAATTCAATACAATTGATTAAAAAAATCTGCCACTTATCAACCATACAAATGTTTAGATGTGGCGCGTGGTAATCCTTCGAATGCAGCGCGATGAGTTTCAGCTGAATAGTACTTTAAGTTCATCAATTCCAATTCATCATCGCTGAAGACTTTTTTCGGTGTTTTCAGTTCATCTTTGTCCTCTGTTGATGCAATGATGAAGCCAATTTGACCTATGTATCAACGAAAAAGAAAATTGTTCAACTTTTTATTGCAAACACATTTGTTTTTGACCATTTATTTTACCACATGGATATGATGGTACGGATGTAATGGCATATGCAACAGTAGAAAATTGTTTACGACAATGATCGAGAGTCGATTTAACATGATCGATATCTGTCCAGAATGTACCGCCTTGTGAGCAAATTATACCATTTGGTTTGAGTGCTTTTTTCATCAAAGCAAAGTATGATTCTTGAAATAGTGAAGTTGCAGGTCCAATGGGGTCACTGCTATCGGTGATTATGACATCAAACAAACCAACATGTTGCTTCATGAACTCAAATCCATCACCAATAGTGAGACTCAATTTTGGAGAGTCAAAACCACATGCCATATTTGGCAAGAACTTTTTCGAAAGTTCCACCACACGCCCATCGATTTCAACTTGATAAACTTTTTTTACTGCTGGATGCTTTACAACCTCACGTGCCACGCCTGTAATCAAATTAAAATCGAATTCATTTTCTTGATCAGTTATCACAAAACCATCAAAAATTATCAAAAACACACATGACATGTGTATTGACATTTCAATGGAAACTATCGCATAACAAAGTATTTTGAGCAAATTTTTCAATAGCGATAAAATTCAAGATTCGGTTTCATTTTCACACATTACAAATTACATTTTGTTGCATTTTATAATGATTGGAAATTTTTAAAAATGAGATAAGATTAAATTATATATTGTTCATACCACCGTCTCCTCCTCCAACGATTAAACACTTTCAAATTAAAAAGAAAATATTTTTAGTTTAAAAAACTAATACTTTTATCAGTCAATAAATCAATTATTTAATCATTTTACTGTTTCTGGATTTGCGTGACAACACAGCGGAATAAATGAAATCATTTCCTGATATGAAAATTCATCCTTCTCTGTACATTGGATTATGCCATCTAAAATCAGTGCACGACCATGTGCAAATCTGAACGAAATTTAAATTTGAAAACAAAATGAATATTGTTTAAGGACATTGCGTTTATTGCGAAGATAATATGTTTTTATTAAATCAATGACCCCTTTTTAAACATAGAATATTATTATTTACGTATCAATGAGTTTATACATACGTCGAAATGATAGAGATGTCTTGAAATTCTGAACGTTCTTCGTGAAGTACTTCTTTTACCTAGAGTTGATCAGAAGAAAAGAATGGAAAAAATGGAAATTAATCAATAAGTAATGGAACAGAATGGAAAATGAATTGTGAGTAATGGAATAGTAATTTTTAAGTAAGTATGCCTTATCTTTTACCTTCAGACTGAAACATTGTCCAGGCCACAGTTCATTGATTTCGCTAAACCATCCTTTTTGAATTGCGTCCATATTGCTGCAATTTTAATCACAAACGACATGCAGTAGACCACAATCAACAGATGAAGACCAGTATATAACTCAAGCAATCACCAACTGAATCAATCGTATTGCAAACTTTTCTATTCCTTTATATCAACAAGTTTCATACTATATAATGCAATAAACACAGTAAACATACACAAAATATAAAATATATTATACTATACGTATGGATTGATCTATAGATCATAAGTATATCGCAACACAAACACTCCTTCACGTTTGCACGTGTATGTTTCTATTTTTTTCACACATGAAAATTTCGCCGAATTCTTTCGCATTGAGAATGCGTTTGTTTGCGTGTGAGTCGACAGTGGCGGTCATTTGTGTTTGTTTTTAGTATGTATTGGTATCTGTATAGTCGGATTTTCATAAAAAATGAAGTAGCTTACGTACGCAAGCTGACTTTTCCGCATGGAACTGAAATTTTTGGAATAAACTGAAATTATGGTCTATGTATGGTTGCAGTAACTTAAATTACCGTGAAAACTTGTGAATATTATTTTCTTATCAAAATAAATAATCACACCAAGTTTAAAGAAATTTCAATAAAAAAAATAGCCTGTTTAAAGTTTCACATCATTACGGTACCACAAAGGCAAGTCTTTCATACAAAAATGAAATTTTTGTGGATTTTTGTATGAAAAGTCTGTGAAAAATTGATTGCATCTTAAAACTTACATCAGATTCGGGTTTCTCGTGCCAAAAAAAACCCCCACTTAACATTCTTTCAGCGTTCAAATTGAAAGAATATAATTTTAAGACATTTTTCTCATAAGTGCCTCTTCAGAGTTTAAGTTTTACACCGATCAATCAATGTCGTTGAAAATTTGACCAAATCAATTCCTCGTAGTGCCCAATCATCCCGTAAAGTCAGATTTTGAATTTCATGTCTGAGCACGAAACCATCGTGTCACCAAAATGGTTGAAAAATGGTCAAAAATGTATGAATGTGGGTACTCCATTGGGACCAAAAATTACAGCGGTCAACAGATATTGCTCAAAAACTATTCAGCACGTCTCCGAGTAGTCCCAAATCATCCTGCAACGTCAGAATTTGAATTGAGTTTTTGGAAGAAGATTTATCGTGTTAAAAAAAATTGGCAACACGCCACAGGACACGGGACACAGGACACAGGACACATCACACGCAGCGACGCACATTAATATGCCCCAAAATCATCTCCAATCGTCTTTTCTATATGAAATATGCATAGAAAACATGTTTTGGGGTGACTTTAATTTTTTGGCCTAATACAATACCTTTCCTACACTAGGTGTGCGGAAAAGTAATATAATCAGATATGGTACCACACATGAATGGGTAAGAATAATCATGAGCTCCAAACATTCTTTAAAAAAATACTGATACAAGACGATGAATTAAAATAAATGAGATACTAACTCGCGTTTAAAATAAATCTGATACTTTTCAATTCGTTCAAGTATCAAATTTATTTTCAATTCTGTTTAGTATCTCATTTATTTTAACTCATTTGTGCATAATACCGAGTCTCCGAGAGTTTCATATAAGCCTTCCCATGTAGATGGTAAAAGATCTTGAAAAATGAAAAAAATAATTAAATTTTTTTCTTCGATTTACAAATACTATTTAATTTTCTGTACCATCTGGTGAAATCAGAATGAAAAAAATCGCATTCCCTATCACCCAAATCACGATTGGCATTCGGTCACTATTCAATAGGTGTTACATAGGAAGTTTATGTGAAACTCTCGGAGACTTGGTATAGAGCACCCAAACAGTGAAAAAAGTCCAGATCGTGAGTTATATGATATGGGATGCGATTTTTTTCATTCTGATTACACCAGGTGATACAGAAAATTGAGTAGTATTTGTAAATCGAAGAAAAAAAATTTAATTATTTTTTTCATTTTTCGCGATTTTTTCACCATCTACATGGGAAGCTTGTATGAAAAACACAGAAGACCGCTGAAAATGCACTGTCACACGTCCGTACGTATTTTGCATTTGCCATTTCAGCGGTCTTCCGTGTTTTTCATACAAGCCCATTATTTCCCATGTAGATGGTGAAAAAATCGTGAAAAATGAAAAAAAAATAATTATTTTTTTTTCTTCAATTCTCAAATACTACTCAACTTTCTGTATCACCTGGTGAAATCAGAATGAAAAAAATCACGTTCCTTATCATGCAAATCAAGATCTGAATTTTTTTCACTTTTGGAGTGCTCTATACCGAGTCTCCGAGAGTTTCATATAAACTTCCTATGTAACACCTATTGAATAGTGGCCGAATGCCAATCGTGATTTGGGTGATAGGGAATGCGATTTTTTTTCATTCTGATTTCACCAGATGGTACAGAAAATTGAATAATATTTGTAAATCGAAGAAAAAATAAAATGTCTTACATCCGTAAGATGAACTTTTCCGCACTGTGATCCACGACATGAAAGAAAACTAAATCTGACATTAGTTTTAGATAAAAATAATTTTCGAAGCACTTTTCTTACAAAAACTACTAAAGATGGGAATTTTTGTATCGGAGCCATGCCTATATGATATCGTAATCATGTGAAAATTTGCAGAGGTTATTTTTTTCACACAAAGTTAACATTCTGAAAGTTTGAAAAAATTTCAATGTATATTAAGGGTACTTCCCATACAAAATTTCGTTTTAGAGCGAAAAATCCAAAATATTGTTCGGGAGGTGCCCCTAATATTCGTTGAAATGTCTTCAAACTCTCGGAATAGTATTTATGTGTGATAAAAATAACCTGTGCAAAGTTTCAGCTCATTACGATATCATACAAGCATGGAGTCCATACAAAAATCCAAATTTTTTGAATTTTTTGTATGAAAAGTGTTTCTAAAGTTGATTGTATCGCAAAACTAACGTCATATTCGGTTTTCTCGTACCCAAAAACCCCCCAATACACATTTTTGAGTGTTTAAGAATACATTAAATATCACTTTTGGAAGAAAAATTGAATTTTTCCCATGGATGGACATGGGCATCACACCAGACATGACACGTCACTGTATCAGCCAAAGTCGCTCAAAATCTAATGGTTTCTATTCCTCGGCACCCCCAATCATCCTGTGAAGTCAGATTTTGAATTACTTTTCTTGTTTGAAAGTTATCGTGTTAACAAATTTTTGCGTACAGCGTACAGCGTACAGCGTACAGGGTACCACGCACATACATTCGGACATCGAAAAAACGCTAGATTCGTGTTCCCTGGCTCCTAAAACACCCAGAAAACATGTTTTTTGAGGGTGTTAATTTTTCGACCGATTCCAATACTTTACCTTACACACTAGGTGTGTGCGGAAAAGTAAAATTTAATTATTTTTTTCATTTTTCACGATTTTTTACCATCTACATGGGAAGGCTTACATGAAACTCTCGGAGACTCGGTATTATGCACAAATGAGTTAAAATAAATGAGATACTAAACAGAATTGAAAATAAATTTGATACTTGAACGAATTGAAAAGTATCAGATTTATTTTAAACGCGAGTTAGTATCTCATTTATTTTAATTCATCGTATTGTATCAGTATTTTTTAAAAGAAAGTTTAAAGCTCATGATTATTCTTACCCATTCACATGTATGTATAAAATAATGTGAAGAATTCAAATGTTTCAATTTCCAAAGTAATCAATTTATTGGTGATAAGCAAGCGAGATTATATCAGTTAATACAGTATAGATACTTTATATTATTGTCTCGGCATAAAACGAGCCCATAGACCATTTTCAGCGTGCATGTTGATCGAATTCGGTTTCAAGATTACTGGATTCGGTGTTTTATCAGATTTATCAATCTTAAATTCACGTAACAAGTGATAAAAGAAGGTTTTGGCTACCATTAAAGCAAACCGCGAGGCAATGCATGTGCGCATTCCATTTCCAAATGGCAAATACGTACATGCTTGAATAGTTTTACGATTTTCTTCGTTAAATCGTTCCGGATCAAATCGATTTGGATGTGACCAGTATTCTGGATCACGATGAATAGCATAAATGGGTATCCAAATGGCATCGTACGTTGTCAATTGAACCACATTTCCGTTTGCTTCCAAGCGATACGGCTTTGCCACTTGTCGATCTGATTGTGATACTGGTGGCCACAACCGAAGGGATTCTAACACAACCATTTCCATGAACTTAAACCCTTTGATAATTTCATACGTTACCGGACCACCATTTAACTCTTTTTCAATTGCAATTATTTCATCGTAAAGCTTTTGTTGAACATCTTGATTGCAGGCAAGCTCATGAGTCATAAAAGATATAAGTGTAGACGTTGTTTCAAACCCAGCAAAAAAGAAAATCGCACATTGAGCCACAATGTCATCATCTTTCCAATCTATAATAATTAATCGTTGACAAAAAAAAACAATTGAATAAATTGATGTGACTTTTGTGAATGTTAATATCTACGAAATTTTCAAAGATGCAATGCGAAATTTATCACTTACCGTACTTTTTGGTGGCATTACCATCAGCATCTTGTAATGTACCCTTTCTAGCTTCCATTAGCAAATGAATCATATCTGGACGAAAAACATTATTTTTCTCTCTGTATGCCATAGTCGAAAGGACTACATTGCGAAAATAGTTGCACAAGCTCTCATCCAAAAATGGTATACGACAAAATTTAATGAGTTTTGGCATTACATCCAGAAGAAGAAGCTTTATACCTTGTATGCCATCAAAATTTGTAACTTTTTTACCAGCCAAATAGAATTCATTCTCATTATCAGTGACTGCATCCACCTCCAATCCAAAAGCACTCGTGGCAATTAAATTTGTCGTATATCTTGAAAATAAATCTTTCAATTCAAATTCAATGGAATTTGATGATTTGCTGTGTCCTTTGACCAGTGTTAATATAAATTTATTTGTACAATCACATATTAAATCAAACATCATTCGCATTTTGTTGCCAGTAAATGATGCCGATAGAACGGAACGCATATCTTTCCATTTTTGATCCCGGCTAAAGAATAAACTTCTTGCCAATATTGAATCCAAATTTTCGTCAAAATTGCTTTGATGATTTAAAAAATGCTCAAAATCTTGTGTTGTAATCTTTTTCACCAACTCTGGATTACGAACTACGAATACAGGATAGGTGAGCTCATAGATGCCAAAAAATGGCTCGTTTGCAAATCTAAAATAGAAAGAAGCCACTGAATCGGCAAATGATTTATTGCCAAAGAAAAATTCGTGTAATGTTCCAACAAATGGCCATCCTCGAATGAATTTCGTATTTCGGCTCGAAAAATACCACCAATTTTTCAGTATACAACTGTACATTAATATTAAGATGCATGTTACAATAAACAGCAAAATATTTGACCAAGTAAATACATTCATTGAAACTTCGAATTATTTCAATTCAATTTATGTTATTGCTTTTAACGAAGAATATTTTTCTATTAAAGATATGTTGGTGAACACTTTTTTTTATTATATGGTCACTCCAAATCATTTAGTGTTAATGTTCAATTTCATTCTAGAAGAAAACTGTAAACAATAAACGATTACTATATTTTTTAATATTCGGACACATTTAAGCGACTCACAAAATCCAGCACAAAACAAATAACGATGACAACAAAACAATTTATTTATTATGATGTTGCAAATTCTAAAATATGATTGTCATATTATATTATGCGAGTGTGTTTTGGTTGGCCATATAAAAAAAAGAGTGATTATTTGCAAGTACACCTTTTCTTCTCTTTTTTGTTGGGTCAGCGTTCATGAAGAGATAATGCTCAACAAATTAAAATGAATGAATAAGTTAGCCCATAACAATGCATTTAACTGTGTGCTGAAATGCACAAACAAAAAGCATTGAGTGTGTTAGTATATACAAGTGATAACACCTCGCTGTATAAAAATTCGGTGTAGCGGAAAACAGTATTAAAAACAACAACATATTTATTTTTATATTCTACACAGCTTGTTGCAGCTACATACGATAACAGCTTATTTGGTATTGGTATAACGAGTTCTGACAAAATGTTTGTAAGTATCAGCATATGCATATATATATATATATATATATATATATATATAAAGCTTTTGAAATGGTTAGTCACAGAATAAAGTAAACCAAACCAATAAATGTAACTAAGTATTTCATTTGTCGCTGATACAAATCATATTTCGTTTTCTTGAACATTAAAAAGTTAATGAATGCATATTCGCGAAAAGCAAATACATTAGTACAAGTCATTACTGTAAATATGCTATAATATTTATGCTTCTGATTTAACAAGAACAGAATAAATTTGTAAATTGAATGACGCATAAGCAAATATTGTGACTATAGCCCACTATAGCCATAGAATGATCTAAATTATGCATACCATGTGTTGCTGTTTGTGGCGCTAAAGTTCATTATCAAAACAAATTTTTCGATACTACACACGAATCATAAAGAATTCGATTAATATTCATGTATTTGTTACTTTCGATTTAATTCTTATTTGTTGATTATTTATAATTTTACATTATTTCTTTCTGCCAAATAAATAATAATAAATATACGATATTCGTATACGATATACAAAGTCTAAACGAAAAAAAAATTGTTTTAGATACATGTTCATGTCTCGTGTGCGTGTAATCTGAAATCATAGAAATCGTAGTCGTAATATATATACTTTTGATTCGACATGATACTGATATTGAGCACTGTATTAGACACACGTTTCAGATGTCAACATGTTTCAATGTACTGGTACACGTTTGTTCTTGACCGTGACACGAGATCACCTCATGATGGAACCATGATATACACACTTATATGCGATTTTTGTTTATACATTTACTGTGCTGATAACACATGTAACTACAAATGCGCCATTCAGACCAAAATTCAGACAAACAAACGCTGTGTAAATTTATGTAAATATTTATTTAAAAATCATTCAGATTAATTATATTTAATAATCTAAACATTAAAAACTGAATAAAAATAGTTTTATGTCTTCAAACATCCCCAAGAGAAGATGTCACGGAATATACATTTTTTTAAATTTCAAATTGTCATCTCTTTCTGCAAACGTTTATAATTTCTATTTTGGTTTGGCTATGAACGTGATGTTGATCACACGAAATATATCTCCAAATAAATGCGGCAATTTATAAAAGTGAATTTAAAAGAGACAAAACAAAACACATGCTTTTTGAAAACAAACATATATACTATACATATATTATATAGATGTTCCTATGTTTTATTGACTCAAATTAAGTTCCTGTTAAATAGGACAAAGTGGAATTGTGAAGTTCAGATATTCTAGATTATATTTCAGATAAATTTCTATAAAATTATTGATTGTAGTTTATGGTTGATTCATTATTAGACCATTACGTCCGTTATTTTCTTTGGAATTTTGAAAAACAGGACATTTATCTAAAATATTTCGATTTCGTGAGTTACATTAAATAATGAACAATAAAAAAATTAATTAAAATGAGAGTATTCATTGTTGACCAGAACAAATGTCAAAATAGATGCGACCAATTATAAATGTGAATTTAAAAGAGACAAAGCAAAACACATGCGGTTATGCGGAAAAGTTGCGCATACACAAATAGAGACAGAGACAATCTATAGAGACTATGTGACGTTAGTCGCGTTGCGTATCGCTAGTAGCAACAGCTGAAATATTATTATTATTATCAACGTTATTTTGTTGTGTGTTTATTTTTCTATTTGGATTCTTTATCGTCAGGCGATAGCTCGCATATAGCATATTAGTTCTAATTTAATTGCGGAATAGGTCAGTTTGACTACATCTTGTACAGAACAGTGTTGTGCGGCTTGAGACAATAAAAATCGGCACAAAATTATTCGCAGAAATCAATTTCTTTTTTGATATTTACGTTTAATTTGCACAGATTCTGTTTTTTTTTTTTTTTTTTTTTTTTTTTCAAAGTGTTCCAAAATGTTTGACGCATTTAGTAGCTATAGTGGGATGTTGTTGATTATCATATTTTCAGCCGTATTCGGATTCATTTATCAGTTTGTGTTGCGATCGTGGTTTTATTTTAGTGATCGAAATGTGAAATTTGTGCGAGGAATGCCGTTATTGGGCAGCACTTTTAAATCGGTGATTGGTTTGGAACCTTCAGCAATTTCCTTCCGTCGATTGTACGAGTATTTTCCCAAGGAGAAATTTATTGGAATATATGATTTTGGTGGTCGTCCGTCCTATTTAATTCGTGATCCGGATTTGATTAAACAGCTGATTGTCACTGATTGTGATCATTTTATTAGCAATAAATTGGCAATTAAAAACGAAAATGATTACTTTTCTCAAACTTTATTCGGAATGTGTGGTTCTTTATTCGGAAAGTGGAGTGGAATGGAATATACAACGAATCTCCTTTTTTCCACCAACAAAATGCCAATGATGCATGAATTGATGGTTAAAATAACTGAACAATTTATTGAAACGCTTAAAAGAACCGACAAAATTGCCAAAATATTTGACTCTCGTGATCTGTTTACGCGATACACAAATGATATCATAGCCAAAACTGCATTTGATGTTGAAATGAATTCATTGAATGGCATAGATAATGAATTTTATAATGCCGGTTCCGCTTTGAATGAATGCCGTTACGTTGATGGTTTAAAATTTTTGGCCAGCCTCAATTTTCCATCAATTATTAAAACGTTGGACGTTTTCGGAGCTAAAGAAAAACACATCAGCACTCTGCGAAAATTCCTGGGGAAAACCATAGAAGCGAGAACCAATAAAAAAAGTGATCGAAATAACTTGATTGATCTACTGATTCAAGCTCGAAATGGAAAATTAGAATGTAATAATTCAGATGATAAAATAGACATTGGATTTGCGACAACGGTAGAACTCACTACTTCAAAGCCCAAAGATGAAATTCAAGGTAAGTTTTTAGGGATTTGATTTGTTTTTGGTCATATTTAAAAACTTTGAGATTCAAACTTTTAAAATATTTGTCCCATTGATAGAATGCACCGATGACGATATAGCTTTACAATGTGTGGCTTTCTACCTCAGTACTTTGAGTTCAGTATCACAAATTGCCTGTTTTATGTTTCATGAGTTGGCTTTAAATCCAGACATTCAAGATAAACTATATGCGGAAATAAATAGTGTAAAAAATGATTTGAACGGTTCATCAATAACATATGAGATAATCCCAAAGATGAAGTATCTTGATATGGTTTTATGTGAAACTTTGCGTCGTTGGTGTCCGATTCCATTTTTAGAGCGCACTTGCATTTCTCCATATGTTTTGGAAACCAACGGTGAAAAATGCATAGAACTTCAAATCGATAATGGTATTTTTATACCTACATATGGATTACAAATGGATGAGAAGTACTTCCCGAAACCAATGAAATTCAATCCAGAGCGCTTCAGTGAAGAAAATAAAGGATCAATTCAAACTGGCACATATTTACCGTTTGGAATCGGCACACGTATGTTTCATTTAATTTAATAATTTGTTGAAATTTAAACATTTTTCTATCATAAGATATTTCTGTTATATTTCCAGGAAACTCTATCGGATCACGGTTTATGATAATAACAATCAAAACATTAGTATTCCATTTACTATCCGAATTTTACGTTGACAAGAGCTACAAGACACCGGATCCGCTCAAATTGAAGGCACTTCCATTGCTAATGGACGCCGAGAAGGGATTTTTCATTGAATTACGACGTCGAAATCCTGATCGAACGCCGTACGAAAGTCAAGTGTTCACATAGACATTGATATAATAATATTTTCTTTAAAACAAAATCTTTGATTTAGTTTTGAATTTTTGTGCCATAACAATTCGTGCTGTGTATTTGAAAATAATAATGAAATCATTTTATTTTTGACTTTGGAAAAACGACTTTTTTTTCTCTTCAAATATACACCAAACCCTTGTAATAACCTTTAAAATCATCTACCGGAGTCAATGATATGACGTCTCTCGACTTATATGTACATGTTTATATGTATATGTTTATTGAAGCGATTTTTATTTTGTTTCTTATGATTTTGACGAGCCGTGCGTTCCATGTAAACATATAAATATAGACTGAGTGATATTGTAAAATGATTTTGCGCATTTGATCTCTGTGCGATTTTCTGACGTCTCTATTTATGAACTCAACATTCGAATGTTTTGACATATTTTAAATGTGGGTCTGTTATTGCGTATTCATATGAATCAAAGCTCAGCTGATAAAGAAACGATGATTTTTCTTTAATCTTTTTTGTTTTTTGTGGCGTAACAAAAAGAATAGTAATGAGAATGATATTGTATTTTTTAAAATTTGAAAAAGATTGGTATTGAAGAAGTAACACGGGCAAAAGGAGGTTTTCCAGTTTTTGAGGTGTAATTTGGTTAATGGTTATACAATTTAAAATTTTAAATAGCTTGAGAACTGCCGAAAAACATATGGGAATTTTATACTATACATTGCATCCCCAGCAAACAAATTTGTTTCTAACGTTGAAAAATGTAACGTTTTGGCCCATTCTGGTGGTCATTTTCGTGTCAAATGGAACGGAGATTATATGCATAGTTTCCACGAATTCCAATGGAATGGATCCACTTGTTTCTTTCACTTCCTATAATATTTCATTTGACAACATAATGTGAACACAACCCAATACATTAAGTTTTATATTGAAAATCTAAATCTTACGCTCAAATAAAAAAATAAACAATTTATTCGGAAAGAAATAAATAAAACTCTGCAGAAGAACTCTCTTACTAGTCATTCATTAAATTTATTTTTCTTTATTTGTGGAATTATTATTTTGAATTTTCGAAATGCAACTGACATCTTTCTGACATTTTTCTATCCGCGCGGTGTATATGTGTCAAACCAAATCCAGTAGTTAGTATAAACAACTTTTGCACCAACCGATTTTGTTTACAATAAAACTTTATTTTGTTTTCAACAGGATTTCTTGAGAATTATATAAGAGTGTTTGAAGCGTGGTTTGAGCGATCAATTGGTTTTATTGTCATTTCAAAAACGATTTTGTGTGTTCGGAATGCTGTTTCCTGTGGAATGGATATATTCACAGTTGGTTTTGTGACTGTCTTTGTTTTAATTTCGAAATAACAGAGTGTTGATAAAATTAACTGTGAATATTCCAACAACATTTCGATCGGCAAAATATTTGATGTCACGTTGGAAATAAATTTCATCATTCGATTTAGAATACAGAGTCACTTTGTTGAGGTAAGAGGTGATATTTATAATGCGTTCTTCATTACTGTTTCATTTAATTTGTGATAGAAGTGTTTATATCTTATTGTGTTTGGGATCTACGCTATATTTGGTGTATTTTTTCTTTAATTTTTGTACAATAGATCTGTCACGATGAGAAGAAAGAGAGCCAAGAATGGGCGCAGTACGTCGTTGAAGATGACTCTAAATCAAGTGCTGCGGGAAGAGTATCGTGCACCATTCATCGATCAGGTCACATGAGTTTTGTGGCCTTGACCGAAGTACGGGCAGTTCGGTATATAAAATAACCCGTAGGTGAGTATCATTTATTGAACTGAACCGATAGTATATTGATGTTGATTCATACTTAGTAACTGAGTTCATTTTTTCTCTTTTTTCTTTCCATCGCGACGTTGAAAATGACTGAAACTACACTCAAATCCGACCCCAATATTGACCGTCAACATATGCCCGATAATGGATGAATTTGCAACAACAAATGTTTTTTGGGTCGTTATAGAAATGATTTCAAGGTTTCCCGCTTGAATTTATAAGCAGATAATACACTTCTTCAATGTACTTTGTTCGACTTTGTTAAGTCCAAACTCCCAATTAAATTCCGTTCGTAGTGAAAAGATATCGATCAAGTATGTACATTGTTATAACAATATGCATGTTTTCTTACATCATTATACTAAAAGAAATGAGCTCAAATTGAATAAATCTACAAACATCATCGTTTCAAAGTTATTTTCTTTTAACCATTCAAGGTAAGATATTAGCAACGATTATATTGCACTTGAGTGAATTGCAATTATTTTTGATTGTTTGACGTTTAGACTGATAATAAGTTGTAACTCATTTAAATGTGAGATGCTATTAAGGGGTTTTCCAGTTATATTTTTGTATAGAATATTTTCCTTCTTCAAATGAATCAATTTTGCGGCGAAAAAAATAAGTCCTATTTTTTCAAAATAACAATACAAAAATTATTTCAAAGAATATCGGATAGGGTTTTGAATAATACTGCAACATGATTCATTAGTAACAGTGTCAACAACAACAAGGAATAAGCACCATCTGTACGCATGTGAATAACAATAAGAGCTATTCTTTCACCACAACAATTCAAATGGAATGTAACTTTAATTAATAAATAAAAATGAATTGCAATATTTATAGAATTAAATGATTCACGTGTATGTGTGTTTGATAAAGGATTTCATTTTATAGTTTTTGATTCGAAGAATGTTCCGTGAATATATGGTTCATTTATGAATTATTATTCAGAATAAATATGACACTTGATGCCCGCCAATATGTTAATTGTAAGTTTCACGGTACGTACACTTTTAGCAATAAACACTGATTTATTTTCTGTAATAACTGAAATCCATCAAAATTGATAATCCAATAACAACGATATAATTTGGAGCAAAAAATTTTCATCATCTACTTTTCCGATAATATTTTGCTCAATTTTTTAGGTAATAAAGTTTTAGTACTTATTTTTTTTATTTTAAATGGACTATAGTTATTAGTTATTTGTTTTCTGTTTCTTAAATATATGAATATTGCATATGCTCTCAATTAACTGACGTATCGATTTATTTGTATATAGTTTCGTTTTGATGAATTATTCGTCAGACGAAGCTAAAATAATGCTAACGAGGTCTTTGTATTAAGACTTTTATGCTGCAGCATCGCGTGTTTTGGCGATAAAGAGGGGGATCCATCCATTCAATTCAATCTATATTCATGTTGAAAACTTGTTTGCAAAGCGAAAGACTTTAAACGCAACTATGAATGTAACATAGTCGCCGAAAATGAGCTTAGTGGGGCAGCCAGCTGTTGCACTTAAAAAGCCTTCAAGTATGCCACGAATCTTTCTATCTCTCTTCATCAGTTTCGCTCATAACATTGATGGGTGTGCTTCAGTGTGTTTGTAGAAATGAATCTATAATTACTTTCTAATCGCAAAAAAACAAATAAATAAATTTACGTACATTTTATCAGCAAGAATTTATCATAAGTAAATCAGTAATGTAATAATCTACAAATAATATATCTACAAAAACATCACGAATTAATTCCATTTGCTCAATGTTTCAGTTGATGCAATTACTCAAAGTCGATATAGATCTCAAAAGTGAACACGAAGAGTTAAAAAAAAAGTGAACGGTACAGAAAAATTTAAAAGCAAAATTTCATTGATAGATAAACAAAAAGAAAAGAACGTGAAATGAACGAAAGTAGTGATAAAGTTAGTCGATTTCGACGAATTTTGCCACAGGTAAATACATTCATTTTATTTGTGCAAAACAGTAAAGAAATGTATGTTCTGTTTGTACTCGCAGGTTATAGCAACGACGGTTAAGAATTTTCTTATGTTCGATGTCGGCTTGAACATTGGATTGCCAACAGTTTTGGTGGCAGCATTAACACATGTTTCAAATGAACACAATCAAAATGAATCGCTATCAATAACACCAGCTTTAGCTAGTTGGTTAGGAAGCGTAAGCTACCTTTTTCAACCTATCGGGAGCATGTTATCTGTATTTATCACAGGTAATAGTTTTATTCAAGATAAACAATACATATTCATTTCATTTTGGAATCGAAAGATAATAACTTATTATTGAATAGATCCACTTGGTCGAAAAAGAGCGATGATTATTGTGAACATTCCATTGGCATTTGGGTGGTTCATCTTATATAAAGCAAACAGCGTTTGGGCAGTCTTTTTGGGGTCGATCGTACTCGGTTTGTCTGTAGGGCTACTTGAATCACCCATCTACGTTTATTTGGGGGAAATCTGGTGAGAGATTAAATATTATGGTGATTACTCTATTTGTATAAGATAATGTAACCCAATCACAATATGTGCATGTTTCATTGGCGCTACATTGTCGCATTGTTCCAGCCAACCATCAACGCGAGGTGTTTTATTCGCTTATTCACGAATTTACACAACAGCTGGTATATTCACCATTTTCCTCCTAAACACATTGATGCCATGGAGAACAGTTGCATTGATCTGTTTTGCACTGCCCATTATCACAGCGATAGCTTTGTTATTTGTTCCGGAGACACCCATTTGGCTAATTTCCAGAAACCGTCAAGAAGACGCATTGAAAAGTCTTCGGTGGCTGAGAGGATGGGTTCCACGTCACATTGTAGCACAAGAATTCATTGAAATACAAGAGAGCAGTGAACGATCAAAATGGTGTAATTCGTGTATTAAACAAAATCAAAAGTGTCAACATCCACCGCCCACATTCAGCGAACGATTCATCGAATTAAAACGAAAACGAACGCTCAAACCATTTGCAATTGTAGGGGGTTTATGTTTTTTGTCGCAATTTACGAGCGTGTTGGCAATGCGACCATTTATTGTGCCAATTCTTAAAGCATACCAGACCCCAATTCCAGCCGATCAAGTAGCGGCTATGATGGTTTGATTTTGAATTATGTTTAGCATACATTTTCCTGTCTTTACTTACTTTAGTGTTTTTTTTTTGTAGGGTTTTCTGGATAATATTGGCGCTGTGATGTTATTCTTTTTAATTCATTTCATGGGCAAGCGAAAACTTCCATAACGTTTCATTACATATTGATTAATTTCCATTGTTTACATTCTTTTCTTTGTGATTAACCCTAGGCAAGCGAAAACTTTACATCACATCTATTTTGGGAGTGTTTCTATGTTCTCTCATTCTATGTGTATACGGATACAGTTATTTACCTAGGTATTGTATTATTTTGTATTGTTATTAATCTAATATTATTATTTACCTAGTTATTATTATTTACCTAGCGGATGCATTTCATTTGATAAAACACGAACATTTGAAATGGAAAACCAAACACTCACTTATATTCCAGTAGTTTGTCTCACATTGTGGAGTTTCTTTTCATTCCTTGGCATTATTGTAATGCCTTGGATGCTGCTTTCCGAGATATTTCCCTTAAAGTTAGTTTTTTTCTTTTGCACGGAATTTATCACAAAAAAATCACATTTTATTACAAAAATAATACTCTTTTTTTTTCAGATCTCGTGGAATCGCCAGCAGTATCTCGGCGGCGTTAAACTATTTCCTTGGTTTCATCAGTAAAAAGACATATTACGATTTGGAAACATCGTTTTCACTACCCGGAATGGCATTATTTTACTGCATTCTATCTGGTTGTGGATTGATTTTGATGTATTTGATTCTACCGGAAACAGAAAATCGATCACTAGAAGACATTGAACGTCACTTTTCGGATAATTCTAAAGGACTGACTGATCGCAACATCGTAATATCAAAGCGGAAAAGTAAGAATGAACCAAATGATGATGATGCGGAAAATTCTCAAAAGACCAACTCATCGCATATGATTACCAATTGCAGTGCGGTGTTTGAAAATAAAAATAGAAGCAATGAATCAGCTTACGAAAATAGGGGCTTTGAAATAGAACTCTCCAAATTGTGATAATGGACAATTCAATATAAACATTTAATCATAAACAAAATAAAAAAGCGATCCAAACATTTTATTCTACAACAATTTTTTTATATTTGTAATTTTTTTGTTGATCAATTTTGATGTGGAATATTGATATGGAATATTGAACGTTTTCGGTCGGAAAAATAAATTTCAATATCTTCAAGCGTCCTTCCTTCTGTTTCGGGCAATGTCAGATACATTGCAATGAATCTATATTGTTAGGATAAAATATGAGAAATGGAGTTATGTATATTTAGAATTTTGATGCTTGCCCAACGGTCCCTATACATCCATAAAAAATACTAAGACCAGGAAGTGTTAAAAGCAGCTCCAAGATATAAAATGTTTTCGATGCTAAAAACATGGAAATGTAGTAAAATGCACCAACTATTCCCGTTGCGAACGCTTTTGACCTGTTCCAACGAATAGGCATTTTGAGATTATTTCAAATGTGAAAAGTTAGATGTTATTCATATAAACTTACTTGAATGGAAACACTTCACACAACATCATATTTGGAATGGCACAAACACCATAATTACCGAGACATTGTAATATATGAAAAGCCAAAATTGGTAGATATTGAATGAGTGATGCATTTGCTGGAACATGAGCCGTGCTTGTATTTATATCGAATGAAGTTAAGTTCAATGTGAGATACATAAAACCATAAATTCCTGGTGTGAACAATAGAAACATAAATTGAAATCACATATCATTTCAGTTTTCAATTAGTATTTTAAAACAACACTTACCCAATCCAAATAAAACGAGCACAATAAATGCCATCGTCCATAAGAAGATGGAACGCTTTCCAAATGCCCGAATAGTTAGAACCAGTAAAACATTCGCAATAAATCCACTGTATCCAAGATGTGTCAACACTTCATTCGGATCCATGGGTGATTGATAAAAGTAGAGTATTTGAACCATGTATGGTCGATAAGGAGAAATACTACAAAATGCGGCAAAAAAAAATAGACATGAAATCAGAATGAAGGGGCGAAGTATGCGTCTGCGAAAGAGGTCTCGAATTTTGTCGTTTATTGTTGGTGGTGGATGTTCACAGATTTCATTTTCCTTTTCGCATTGGTAACATATTTGCGCAGAAACCCGACTCCTTTGCAGGTCATTGAATTCATTTTGAACGGCCTTTGCATCTACCTAGGAAAGAATCAAATGTTTTCTTCATTGTCATTTGGAAATATCATAGTTTACAATACATATTAGAATATATATATATATCTACCCAACCACGCAACCACCGAAGACTTTTCAATGCGTCTTCTTGACGGTTTCTGGAAATTAGCCAAATGGGTGTTTCGGGCATCTAAAACATACAAACACATGAAATTATAATGCATTTGTCCCATGCCGAAGAATTGAAGTAATATTGATCGTACAAACGAAATGAAAATAATAGACAAAATTGGAATCACTGCACAAATCAGCGCTGCTATACGCCAAGACGTATGACTGCCCAAAAAATAAACCAATCCAATACCAAACGCTGCAGAGACACTAGCACTAGCAGTTAAAATACCGCGAATACTTGGCTCACTGAAAAAAAAACATTGTATAAACTGTATATATAAATAAATGCAACTATTCTAGAGTTATAACTATTGTTACCAACCATATTTCGCCGATATATGTGAAAATCGGAGCTTCCATAAGACCCAGACCAGTCCCCTTTGAAGTGTATTGTGATTGTGTATTGTGGTGGAAAAATGGGTATTCAAATTGTTCTTACCAGTAGACCAAATGAAATGTAAATCATCATCAATGAGTTGGCATAATATAATAAAATCCAAGCAACAACATATGGGATATTCACACATATCAAAGCCATTTTTCTGCCCAATGGTTCTGTTAAAAAGCCAGACAAGACGCCACCAATTGGCTGACAAATTACAGTAATGCTGCCTAAAAAATTTATTATAAACTTTATTTTTTTTCCACCTATTCTATTTCAAATTACTTTACTTACCGAGCCACGTAGCTTCATCGTAAAAGCGGAATAGAAAACAACGAAAAACAATACAATTTTTGCTTTAAGGCCTTATTTGCTAAGAACACGATTGTAATCGTGTACGATTCCAATCGTCCACGATTTTTTTATGATCGTCTACGTGTATCTGAAAAGCGTTAGATGAAACATTCCCGATCATGAAAGATCGGTTGGCGATTTGAAATAATCGTACACAATTACAATCGTGCGCAAATCGTGTCCTAGGAAATAGAGCCTTTAATCGAAAAAATTTCAATTGTTTGTTCCAATGGGAATTCTGATACTTGGATATCTATTACCTTCATCGGGGGTTATCGACAATGTTTCGTTTGGATTTAAAGCAGGATTCAATCCAAATAAAGCAGGAATTAAAATTGTAGAAAATGCGATTGATAAGCCAAAATCTACAATCAACCTTTTAAAAATGTAAAGAATTTGTTGAATCTTGTTCCATTTTTCATGATAGTATTGAAAAGACAACTTTTATGATAATATTGAATTTCAATCGAAAAAAAAAAACATTTAATCGCCAAAATTAATTAAATAGTTCTCATTTTTTCACTCACATATTTTTTGCTGAACTGGCCAAAATCTTTTGTAACGAAAATTAAAGGAAAAATCACATTCGTTTAATAAAATTCATTATGAAGGACTCTGGATGAAATATTAATTTTACACATACTTGAGGAAGGTATCGTCTGAATGTACTGATTCCTCCATTGTCTGAAGTTGTCTCACTTGACTTTGTGCTGACATCAAAACTTTTCACTTTTTTTCCTCTGTCTAATACTCTTGATAATCTAAAAGAAATATCCAATTAAAAATTGATTTTAATTCTCAATTGATAATGTTCATAATAATGATGAATTAAGTATTTAAAAAAAATCTTGGTCTTAGGAAATAAAACAATTAACCGGAAATCTTTGTTTTACAATAGCAATAAATTCAATCGGCAAATGTATTCATGTGTGTATTGTATGAAGATAAGAATCTATTTATTGTTTGTTTCACACAAGTCAAGCGCTAAATTAGCGAAATATTGTTGAATTTTGCACACCTACGAATGTAAAGTAAACACAAAAGACATGTAACATCACAAAAATTTGTGTTTTACTTTCCGCACACATAGTATAAGGTGAAAAGTATTGTAATCGGTCAAAATTTTGAAAACTTCAGAAACATGTTTTCTGGACGTTTCTGAGGTTAGAGAACCCGAATCAGGCCGTTTTGAGCATGGTTTTTGTTAATCTGTACGTCGTACGCAAAATTTGTTAGCAAGATTGCGCTCATCGTAGAAACTTAATTCAAAATCTGACTTTACAGGATGATTGGGGGTCGCGAGGAATAGAAATCATTAGCTTTTGAGCGACTTTGGTTGATGCGAAAAAATGTCATGCCTGGAGAAGATACCTATGAAAAAAAGTCCAATTTTCGTCCAAAAGTCATACTTAATGTAGACTTAAACACTCAAAAATATGTATTGGGGGGTTTTTGGCACGATAATTCCGGGGTTAATTTTGAGATACAATCAATTTTTGATACAGTTTCCTTGGAAAAATCACAAAAAAATTGAATTTTTGTATGGGAGCCATGCCTGTATGCTACCTTAATGACGTGAAACTTTGCACGGACTATTTTTTGCACAAAAAAATAACATTCTAAAAGTTTGAAGAGATTTCAATCAAAATTAGGGGTACCTCCCTTTGGAGGAAAATTTTTGGCTCAAAAACGAATATTTTGTATGGGAGGTACCCTTAATTTTGGTTGAAATTTCTCCAAACCCTCCGAATGTTAAAAAATAACCTGTAAAAAGTTTCACGCCATTAAGGTAGCATAGAGACATGGCTCCCATACAAAAATCCAAATTGTTTGTGACTTTAGTTATGAAAAGTGTTTCAAAAATAATTTTTATGGCAAAATTAACGTCAGACATATTTTTATAGTATTTTGTTAGAAAATAGAATAATTTCAAATGTCGTACAAATGAGTTCATCATGATAGTATGAAAAATCTTTTGCGAGTACTTCTGCTATTAAATTAAAGAATATTTCGATGCCGAATATATATAGCTAAGTAGAATACGCATCTACCACCGTGCGGAAAAATTCGTCTTACTCCTGTAAGACTCTTTATTATGTTATGGTATAACTTGCCGCTATTGATTTATCAAAATGATAACCAAAAATTTGCCCAAAATTACATTCAAACAAGCAATGTTTTAGCTAATTTACTCATATGTTCGGCCTTATATCTAACCATTATGATTTTGTGAATATTTTCAGTAACCTATTATTACACACTTTTCTACTCATGATTACTAAATACTTAAATGAAATGAAATTCACTTCAAAATTATGCCGAACATGATTAATAGCAATTTTGATTAAACAGACCACGCAAATTTACATTTGTTTTACTCCTCCGATATATTTATTACGTTTCATGACACTAACTGAATGATAAAATGAGAGCCGAAAAATCTATACATTTCTGAAATCTACAATTATAGAGCAGTGCAATGATAATTGTTAAAAAATTAATTCAATGATAATTTTACCATTGGAAAGGCCAGAGTTGGTAAATGCACCTCACAAGTGTGCAATTCTTCTTGGGTGCGCGCACCCGATTCCATATATATGTTGGGTGCGCGCACTTGGAATTTTTTTCTTGCTTATTTCAATATAAAAAATCGTCAAAAATGTATTTTTTTTACTTAATTTTTTCCATTTTGAATTTTTTCACATGCAAAAACTGTTTACATGTAAAGCAATGTGGTTCAAAAGACAACCAGCAGGCGGCTACTTGTAGCTGTCAAAATATATAAGAAACACAATTTGACATAATTTTGTATTGATATATTGAAGATGACCAAATAAAATATGGAAAGTTTTAAGTAAAAAATACATTTTTTTCAATTCTTTATATTGAAATGAGCAAGAAAAATATTCCAAGTGCGCGCACCCAACATTTATATGGAATCGGGTGCGCGCACCCAAGAAGAGTTGCACACAACTTGTAAGGGCGCGCACTTGTGAGGTGCATTTACCAACTCTGGGAAAGGCAGTTTTCGAGATGATATAAGAAATTAGCGAATCGCCGTTAAAAATACACCAAATAAATATTACTTTCAAAACATGCTCTACTAGAGTAGCTCTAAACTTTCAAAATGATGAAATTTCGGCCTGTAGCTTTAAAAAAAATCCAGATATTATTGTTCTTATCTAAAATATCAACAATTTCGCGATTAAATTTCATTTTCGAAATTCGGAAATCGATTAATTTCGTTTTTCCACGAAAATTTATTCTATGTTCCACTCACATGTTTTGAAGTTTCATGTTGATTGAAGCGAACGTTCACTTTTCTATACTTAAAAATACAATTGTCACAACAAATAATGTTTAAAGTATATCAGTCTGTTTGTATGACTAACTTTTAATGATAAAAGAGCTGATTTATTCACAAATAAAATTCACGCTTTGTTGATTAGATTTAAACACTACAATTGAGTGAATTGTTGTACAAATGGTTTTGTGAAGATTATAAGCTGAAAAAAGAATGTAAGTCCTCACACTTACTATTCATTTTCAATACTGAATATTTTTGTTTCGATATTTCATTCTTAAAACATGTAAGGGGAATATTTGCTTTTATTTCGTTAAACATTCGATGTCTGCGGTACTTTTTTATATTAAAAAAAAAACACGATCCGTGTAAATAAATTCGAATTGTGTTATCAGAACGCAATTAAGTGTTGTTAAAAAAATTTACAATTCGCATAAAACGTAGAAATTCTCGTTTTGCCAAACAAGTTTATCTGATTCTTTGTTCAGACGTGAAAATCGTAAATGATGTGCTATTCAATGCAATGCATTACGAAACTCATAAGTACAGTGTATACAATACAATTTAATTCAGGTGCTGGTACGGCTTCAAAGTACTTTGACTATAGCACTGACTTATGTCAATGATTTAAATATTACTTCAATGCCAGTAGATTACCAATCCGTCAATCAACTCTAAGATGAAGAGATAATTTTATGGTTTAAACGACACTTTATTTGATGAAAAAAAAACTGTATTTATTTGTTTGATTTAAGTTTGAAAACTGGTTTAAAACAACTTTTTATTATACTAGAAGAAAACATACACCATACAAAAAGATCAAATATTACTTCAAATCTTAAATTATTTCACACATTTTTATGCTAATGAATCGAGATTTCTTTAATGTAAATGTTGTGTATTTTTTTCAAGAGTAAAAGTTCACAACGAAACTCGTATCTGATGAGCAGTCATGTGAGCCACCTTCATCATCATATGAATAACTGTATGCAGTGGGACAATTGCGATGAACAAGATTCACATAATCTGTTTGTACAACGATTCCGCGTCTACATTCCTGAACTGAAACTGGACTGGGACAACAAAGTAAACGTCCATCACCTTCTTGCTCGTTACGGCCTTTTCCAAATGGTGCTGGATAGTTCCATTTTTTGCATGGCGATAAGCAGGCTACAGGATTATTACTTCTTCCTTTTACAGTTAAATCGCCTAAGCCACTTCGTTCATTGTGTGGGCACTGATTCACTGATAATCGACAATCAGTTCGTACACATGTTCCGCTTTGAAATTGTATGCCCTGAAATTAAATTGCGAATTTACATTTTCACGCCGTTTAATTTTTTAAATTACGTACGTTTTGCACAGGAATAATTTCACTCGCCAATGAATAGCCGTCGACCTTAAAAAAATGGCTAAAATAAGCAATCGAAACAAAACAGGTAAAATTCAACAAACCAAACTGATGTCATAAAACGATCGATCGGCACTATTTTCTGATGGGAAAAAAAATTCCACTTTGGTATCAGCGGGTGGATGACAACCTTGTGCGGGACATGGTGGAATCGATTGGCCAAATTCACAATTTGCACCACTATTGTTGCAGTTAAACTTTGGCCAAAGTCTTCCAGCCCATCCATTAACGCTTATCTCATATTTAATTCGACCGCCAGGATTGATTCTAACTATCTCGTTTGATAATTTGGGTCCATTGGCATTGGCCAACGTTTCAATCCAAATGGGAAAAATGTTTCGATTTCCAACTTCAATGAAACGTCTCAATTCAACAATATGCACTGAAGAACAAAGAACTATCAACACCAAGTAAAATAACATTTTATATGTTTAGTCTTTAAATTCTACTTTTTGACTGAATCGAATTTTTATCGATAAAAGCTTATTAATATTTATGAGTCTGACCGGTTCGCACTTGATTGTTGACGAAAATAAGTGTGATGCGTATGAATAAAATAGCGTCTACATTGTTTTTGCATCTTCAAAAAAATTGTCCAATCAGATGAAATACACTTTAAGTGAATGAGTAAAACGGTGGAATTCGTTACAAATAATTGAAGTAATCCAAGATCTCAGATCTGTTGTGTTCAAAATGATCTTGTGTTAAGCGGGATATTATTCATCTTCATCCTCCATCATTATGTGTAATCATAAATCGGTAAACTAAGTTGACACATTGAAATTTTCTTAGCAAGTGCAATAAATCGCTTGCAGACATTTACTACTGTAGAAGATTCATCGGAGATAAGAAAAAGCAATTAAACTCTGTACTTTAAAGTCATTATCGATAACAACGAAAAAGCATTGATGGAAAAAAAAGTCAACAGATCAATTAAGTAAACAAAAGTGAAAACTTAAAAGACAAAAAAATACTTTCAAAACCTTTATTTGGCGACATACAAAATATGTAAACAAACGGCTTTGTACTTGACGTTTTTAGCACATAAAATGAAGCGGCAATAATGAGCATATGATTACAGCGTGAATACCCTAGTTTTCATGTTTTTGTTTCTCTATCTCGGTGTCTGTTTGTACGTACATTATCTCTTATATGATATGATTCCGGTCACCAAAAATGGTACCACACAAAAATCGAAAATCAACGGCAAAAAGCACTCAACCAACAAGAGATTTCACCAGCAATTTCATATGCAAGCATTTATTATTTTGTTTGAAACCGAAATAACAACAGAATTCATCTCGACACCGAAAAATTGCGTTCGAACTGCTTTAAAAAATGTTGTGCTATTTTCAGTAATTGCGAGCATTTCAAAAGTGTCGCATGGAATTGTTATGTCAGAATAAACGAAAACTTTCGTTTTTAAATGTATTTTCACTGATTTTTTTTAAATATGCATCGTGACGTGATTCTTGTTGTTGTTGTTGTTGTTTTTTGTGCTGGTGCTTCTTCGACAAATATCTCGAAATATGAGCAATTGCCAAGTGAAATTTGGCATCGTTTTGAAAAATCTCTTCAAAACAATTACGATTCGGATGTATTGAATGCGATACATGCACTGAATATGACTATACAAAAATTCCATGAATTTCAAAGGCGAAGTGAATATGTTGAGAGTCGAGATGCCATGATAAATAGTAGGATTGGTGTTTTCTTATTCACCCGTTATTGTGGACCAGGTATAAATATATAAATAACATTTTGTTGTATACTAAATATTCAAATAATCGCAGGCGCACGGATATTTAATCGTATTTTTAAAACGGACGAACGAACTTACACAAACATTGACAATTGTTGTCGGATGCATGATGAATGCCCTGAATATGTATTGCAACCACATGATTATCAACAGTATCCTGGGCTAGATGTTCGGCCACAATTTTTCTCACGGTAGGTTTAATGCGTCAAATTCGATTGAAACTTCTTCATTAATATTTTTTTTTTCAGTTTGAAATGTAGTTGTGATGCTGAATTCTATCAATGTCTTGAAAACATAGAGACAACATATGCATTAACAATCGGAATTGGATATGGAATATTTCAACGATATTGCTTTGAATATGAACATCCGATCATGAGATGTTCGGAGTATTACATGTGAGTTTTAATATAAAGCCAAACAACGAAAGAACAAAAAAATAAATTTGAAACCATTTTTAGAGGCTTTGGCTTGAGACGTTGCATGGCCTACGAAATTAATTATAGTGCCCCAAAAAAGTGGCAGTGGTTTGACGTACTGCCTCCATATCTCGAAATATATAACTTTCCTCAATTCATTCAAAGTGCAATTTCATTAAATTGATTGGAAATTGTTGTTTTCATACAAACTCCACCGGATGATTATTTTATAATTTAAAGTTAAAAGAGTTGATTAAAAAGCGATAAATTTTTATTTATTTAAAATAAAAACGAGCTAAAATAATGTTTAATTTAATTGAATTTATCAAAGTATCTGAATCTTGTTAGGATAGATAGCGCCATCTCTTGATAGTTAGACAATACAATAGAGTTGAAAATATAATTGAACATTGTATCTTTTAAAAAAATTGTACCTAAAAATAGCAAAAAAGAAATAGTTCAAATTATTATTAAATTCCAAAAATTAAATTATAAATAAAACTCAATAAAAACTATAAACCGAAGCAAAACTTGTCCAAAAAAAACCGGTTCAGAACTGAATCGGTTCAGTTGGTCATTAGGAGTGACACACGCACGAATACATACACAAGCTGTCGTCACCAACTTATTGTAATTCTTTACGCCATTCACATTAACAGCGTACATATTGCGGCGATTGCAGCAGCAATTTTAATCGTGTTTTTACATCGAAAATCTGTAAGTGTCCCGGTAAAAAGTGCATTAATTTCATTAAAATAATTATTAGAGATACGAAAACGTTGGAGTATCTGCTTAAATTACTAAAAAAAATGTGAAAATGATATGTTGATAAATTAATTGTCCCGGAAAAGTGACAGTGTGGCACAATGCGGTATATACGATAGTGCGTTGAACACACACACACACACATATATATATATATATATATATATATATATATACGTATACATATTCAATAGGCTATTCATAAAAAAGTTGCTATTACTAGTTGTATCCTAACCTCAACTTCCACGTTTTTCATTTAATTTTCGTGCTGAAATTTCTTGATAAATAATGAAATAAGTGTTTTATATTTTGATTTTTCTTTTATTGAAGATTTGTGAAAAGAAAGAGTAAACAAGATGTCCCGTTTCTTTGCGACCGGTGGGTCCGATAGCGAATCGGATAGCGAATCAGATAAAGAGCAATTTGTTGCACGTCCAGCACCAGCTGCATTTACGGTAATTTCAAAATTAAATTTTTTATTTCATCAGACAATAAAGCGAACAATTTTTGTACAATTCAACATAGTTCAGCGACGAAGAAGAAGAAGTAAAGCGTGTGGTGCGTTCAACGAAAGAGAAACGCTATGAAGACTTGACGAATTTAATTAAAGCCATCCGTAACCATCGGAAAATCAAGGATATGGCTAGTTTGCTGCAGAGCTACGAAGATATGACTCGTGCTTACCAGAAAGCATTGCCAGTCATTATGAAAGAAGAAAATGGCGTTACTCCACGCTTCTATGTGCGTGCATTGGCCGAAATGGAAGACTTTATCAATGAAGTTTGGGAAGATCGTGAGGGTCGTAAGAGTTTATCGAAAAATAATTCGAAAGCGTTTGGACCATTGCGTCAAAAATTCCGAAAATACATAAAAGATTTTGAAGCTGATTTGGCAAAATTCCGTGAGTCACCGGACGAAGAAGATGAACCAGAAGAGGAGAAGGAGGAAGTCAGTGAAAGTTCTGAAGATGAAGAACCAGCACCAAAAACAGTCACCTTCAAAAAAGAGAAGAAAGAAAAGGAAGCAGCCGACGATTCGGATGATTCAATCGATTGGTTATCGGATACCGAATCGGATTCAGATTTATCGGAAGAAGACACGCAATATGTTAACATTCGCGATCGTTACTTGAAGAAAGCAAGCGACAGAATTGATAACGATGAGGAAGAAAAAAAGAAAAAGAAGAAGATACCCAAACAACACAAGCCACACGAAGAGACTGATGAAGAGGGCGGATGGGAAACTGTCACAAAAGGTTCATCAACAACCGCCGAAAAACCGAAATTGTTCGCCAAAGATGCCGAAATCGATGTTCCATTGGTTCTCAACAAGCTGAACGAGGTGAGTTTTCTTTCTCTTAAAAAAAGAAACGAATGATTGTTATACATACTTTTTCATATTTTTGGTAATTTATTGTTGTTGTCGCTTTCTATTGTATAGATTATGGCATCGCGTGGAAAGAAACGTACCGATCGTCGTCAACAAATCGATTTGTTGTTTGAATTGAAACAAATCGCCCAACAACATAATTTGGGTGATGCAGTTGCATGCAAAATTCGTTTCAATATCGTATCAGCTATTTTTGATTACAATCCAAAAGTGAATGAACCCATGAAATTGGAATATTTTACTAAACTGTTGGAAGTTATGCATGACCTCATAGAACTTCTTTTGAATTCGAAAGATATCACACTATCGGAATCTGTGAATGAAGAACAAGAAGAATATGAGAATGCCCCATTCTATTTGCGTGGATGTGTGTTGACGGCCGTTGAGCGGCTTGATGACGAATTCACCAAGTTGCTGAAGGAATGTGATCCACATTCAAATGATTACGTTGACCGGTAAGTGTTAACAATTAATTTTAACACCATGATGGTTTCAATTCAGACTTAAGCTAACTTTTATATGTGTATATTATTTACATTCATAGTTTGAAGGATGAAGTACGTGTAACAGCTATTATTGAGCAGGTGCTACAATATATTGAGCGTATCGGAAATGAAACTGAAATTTGCCGTGTATACTTGCGGAAAATCGATCATTTGTATTACAAATTCGATCCGACCGTTTTGAAGAAGAAGAATAAAGAAATTGATGAAGATACCACTACTAGTGTTAATGTAATGGAAAAACTATGCCGTTACATTTACGCTAAAGATAATACGGATCGTTTGCGTACTAGAGCCATTCTATCGCATATTTATCATCATGCATTGCACGATAATTGGTTCCAAGCTCGTGATTTATTGTTGATGAGTCATTTGCAAGAGAACATTCAACATTCGGATCCACCAACTCAAATCCTCTACAATCGTATGATGGCCAATTTGGGATTGTGCGCTTTTCGTCAAGGTTCAGTGAAAGATGCTCATCAATGTTTGGTTGATTTAATGATGACTGGTAAACCGAAAGAACTTTTGGCTCAAGGTCTTTTACCACAACGTCAACATGAACGTAGCCCCGAACAAGAAAAGGTAGAGAAACAACGTCAAATGCCTTTCCATATGCACATCAATTTGGAATTATTGGAATGTGTCTACTTGGTATCGGCTATGCTTCTTGAAATTCCATATATGGCCGCTCATGAATTCGACGCAAGACGTCGTATGATCAGGTAAATTCATCTCCATATTTTACCAGAATTAGAATACTCTGATTTTGGTCATTGTCATTATCATGTTTGTTCGACATCATTTCATTTTTTCGAACGCTGGCGAACAAAAGCCGACCTACACGAATGCAACAAAAACTCGAGGAAGCTTTGAGAGAGTCTTAATCAAGGCTTTGCGATTGTTTTTGAACAAATCATATTATTTTGATTTTTATTCATCCATATCAGCTTTTCATATGAAACAAATTACTCAATTTATTATGACTTTATTTACGTTTCACGTAGTAAAACTTTCTACCAACAATTGCGATCATCGGAACGTCAATCATTGGTTGGACCACCAGAATCAATGCGAGAACATGTTGTGGCTGCGGCAAAAGCAATGCGTTGTGGCAACTGGTCAGCTTGTGCTCAATTCATTGTTAACAAAAAAATGAATACAAAGGTTTGGGATCTATTCTATGAAGCCGATCGTGTTCGTGACATGCTTACAAAATTCATCAAGGAAGAATCGTTGCGCACTTATTTGTTTACTTATTCGAATGTATACTCATCGATAAGTATGCCAAGTTTGGCTGATATGTTTGATTTGGTTTTGCAAAAAGTGCATTCCGTCATTAGTAAAATGATCATAAACGAAGAATTAATGGCATCACTGGACGATCCAACCGATACGGTTGTCATGCATCGCTCGGAACCATCACGCCTGCAAGCTCTTTCCATGCAATTAGTTGACAAAGTCACAAATTTGGTGGATGCCAACGAACGTATTTTTGAAGTCAAACAAGGCACCAATTTCTATCAACGAGGCAATCAACTCAAAAATTTCGTAAGTATTTTTTTCCATACATTTGTTTAAGATTTGAGTTGATTTGATTTCAAAAAACCTTTTACAATTGAATGAAAAAATGTATACATTTCAGAACTTCAACAAGCAACAACAACGTGGCAACTATCGCAACCAAAATCACAATCAAGGTGGCTACAATCGTCGTAATCAAAATAATCAAGGCTGGAATAATGCGGGCCGTAATAACAATCGCAATCGTAACAACAACAATAATAATAACAGCAACAACAACAACAACAATCAATTTGAAGAGGAGTAAATCCATATTCGATTTTGTATGCAGTGTTGGGTGCGGCGTAAAAACAAGAAGTGAAAAAAAAAGATCGATTCAAATTCAGTTTGAAGAGCGTCATTTGTGCATTCGACTTTATATTTATAATTATATTTTAAAAATTGTCTTTTTTGTACATTTTATCTATTAAATTATAATATAAGATGAATAGCACAAATGAAACTAAAACAATTCCAATCAAATTAATTTGTGTCGTATCCCGGTTCGGCTGTCATGAGTTCAGCTCTAAGCATCTGAACCGGGATAATGAATACAGAAAAAAAAAATTGCATAAATATTTAAAAAAAAATGATTTTGTTTGAGAGAATTAGCTTGTTCCAGTGACCGGTTCGCGCATATTTCTATGCCTGATAGCTATGCTAAGCATAGCGGAGACGCAAGCCGCAACGCACCCGTCGCCATTCGATTCGAGCTATATTGTATGCGCACGGTCGTCTGCATAAACGAACATGTGCATTGTTCATATAGAGTGAACGGCGATGCGTCGGTTGCGTTTGCGGCTATGCTTGGCATATCTATGCTACCTAGCGTATTTAGGCAAGCATAGAAATATGCGCGAACCGGTCACTGGCTTGTTCATGAAAAAAAGAAACATAAACCATTTCAGCATTCAATTTCTTTTTTCCTCAATGCGATGAATAAAGACAAAATTAATTTGAATACATTTAATTTTTTTATTCTGTTATTTGAAATCGTCATGTGTTTATTGTTTTTATAGATTTAATTCAATACAATTCGAAAAGACTTCTTGTCTCTAATTTCAAACCATCTTATATGCTAAATGATGGAAAAAAGCCGAATATTGCGTTAAACATATATTTTGCTACATGCTACGACAACGCCATCTCTGTTTCCCCATGTGTGTAAAGTATGTTCAATATTGACAAATCATTCAAACGGGTCAATTTTATACCACAAAAATAGCTGTCATCGTGAAAATATGTCAACAATATTATTCATTGAAAATTGAAATTGACTGTGCCGTGTTTATTTTTTAAAACAATTTTCAAATGCATATTTCTGTAAATTTCATTTCAACGTTTTGAAATATTTGTACAATTCTACATGAATAATATTTTAATTTCTTTAAACTGAAATGAAATTTTCAGCATAGAAACTTCTGCTTCTGCTGCAAGACCAAAGATGTCGTTTTTGGGGGAGATTCGTGTGACGTTTTCATATAAAACATATAGCGCATTACTCGGTTAGTTTCGATACACTTGGCCTGAGCGTCAACTTGAATGAAGTTCAAAGTATGCATTTTTGGAAAGCAGATTGATTTACCTCTCAAAATGCAATCGCTTGAATGTTGACAAATGGGTGGCGAATACAATCGAAATCGCGTTTGCACATTTTGCGAAAGAGAATTTCAGTCGCTGATTCGCGGCAATACATAATAAAGTACCTTTCGATTGTCTACAACCAGATTTGGTATAAGATGACCGAAACTTCGCAATACTCGATATGGATTACGTATTGCGATTTATTGAGTGTAGTCTTCTTTCGATGCAATCATGAAAGCGCCTTTATAAACGGCAACCATTGACTTTTTTCCACCAAATTTGCGACCAAATGATAATTTTGCGGCTGTATCAGCAATGTTCAATAGATCTCGGACGTCTATGTACAGAAATATACGTTCAAGACAATCATTGTTGACTTCTGTAATATTCGTTGTGAATTCTTGTCTTGGACGTTTGTGTTTCTGGTCATAATAAGAAATGGTTTTGCGCTTTCTTAGTCTATTCATTTCGACTGAAACTAGATTCTTTTAATCGTTTGACTTTGATTGCCTACGAAGTATAAATTAAAATCGTAACGAATATACACACAAAAAATGGTCAAATAAGTGTCTGTGGCCATTTTCATAGCTGTGGTTCACTGGTGTACATACCTTTTCAAATTGTTCAATGATAATTAAACTATATGCGCCTGCTTCTTGAAGCGAACAAAATGGCGATGAAATGAAAGGAAAATAAATAATGTATATATATTGTAGACAGCATTACAAGCTTGATGGCACACACAATCACAACTCTCTTGCATCAATTGATTTGGAATGTGAAGCTGTGGCCACCGAACATCATTCTTGATTGAGAGTGAACCGGGCTTAAGGTTGACAGCAAAATTGAAATGAACAAACTCAACGAGAACTCTTATTTGAAATCGTCGTGTTTTTATTTTTTCGATACATAGTTAATATGCTAAATGATGGAAAAAATACATGTGTATACATTAAAGATGATATTATCGAAGGTTTTTCTATTTGTTGATTATATTCTTCGTGACGATTTATAACGAAGCGAGTTGTACATTGAAAAGTGAACGTTGTATTTAATCAAATTCATGCAACTATATTTCGTGGTTGGCACTACATTTTCAGTCAAATATCGTATCCCTCGTTGGTATCCATTTATCGATCTAATCCAAACAAATGAATATGTGTTCTAGTGGTCCAATATGAATGGAAGATTGCGTGTGAACGATCTTGTAATCGACTTTATTTTTTGTTTTATTTGACGAAACCATTTAAATCACTCTCAAAGTTTTCAATTTTCTTTTTTTTTGTTGGATCAACTATGTAGTTTGTTCATTAATTTGTTTATTAATTACTAAAACCGTTGGAAAAGTTGTGTTGAGATCAAATGACAGAGAAACATTCCAAATAGGCGTTTTATTTAAATTCTCAATTAATTTAACTTTTTCCGGGTGAGATTCGCTATAGGGTTTTTACTTATTTTTCTTTAGGTTTACGTAATTCTGAAGAGAGTAAAGACAAAACTCACTTATTGTCATTTGTTTATTGTTCCATCGACATATGCTTGGTCACATTCATCATATCATTTTATCATTCACTTTTGATTAAATTATAATATAATCAACATGCGTTTATACTGGTTATTTAAGTTGGCTTACATTGTACTTTAGATTTGAGCCGCTTGAAACAAAGCTACGTTTTACTACTTAAACGCAAACTACAAGCTAAAAGCTACATAGTTTATTTTATGTTCTATATCTTGTTTTCCTTTCTTTGTTCATAGCTGATGTTTAAATATCAATCGAAAACATATCTCTCTGTGGTGTTTCTTATATATTTTGTAATCTTATACTAACGAGCTGAATAATGCTCAACGTCTACATTTCGTTTCATTTCCATTGGTTCCCTTTTATGATACATTCCTGATCATTCATTTATGTGCTACATGGCTGTGAATGCTGCAGATGCTGGTGGTGGTGGTGTTGTTGAATTTTGTTGTGATATCGCTTACAATTTTTTGTACCAGTAAAGATAATGATAATTATTTTCAACGATCATTTCATCAACGCCAATCTGTTAAAATGATAATAAATCAAATTTCGTTACAGCTATAATCAGTACGTAATATTGTATTGATCTTACCGAATTGATAAATTTATTCTCGGGCAGTTTATTTATATCGGGCATATCAGGAAGTTTATAAAGTAACCAATAGTTGAATCTTCCCAAATCTTCGCTATGTCCACCTTTATTAAGAGGAATTTTATTTATAAATTATTATTTTAAAAGGTTAATTATTACGAACCGATGGATCTAATGTAATGTCCGTTTGGCCATTCATGTGATTCGAAGGCAAAACGTGGATCTATATCCATTGCTTGCACCATTGCCTGGTAAAAAGTGGTGTTCCGAGGTGATGTCATAGCCAATGAAACTGTATCAACTGGTGGTTTCAACGAAAACCAAATGGTATACTAGAAAAATTGGGAAACCATTAGAATGTAAGAGAAAAACAAAAGAAACAAAAGTCGCGACAGCAAACAAATTGAGATTTGGTAGTGACCAGCAGACCCAGAAGTACTATTCTATAGTAAGCTAGTACTTTTTTTATTCTCTTCCACAGAATCGCGATTACAACTACCAAATCTCAATTTGTTCAAGATAGTTGCTTGATGCTCATCATATTTAATTCAGAATTATTTCACATTTTTATTGATTATTTTCCGATTATTTTCGATTATTTTTCGATTATTTTTCGATTATTTTAAATTCGATTATTTTCTTTTGTGATTCTTCCCTTAGGTATACTAGAGAGATTTTTCAAGAAACTCAACAATGATTTTTTTTTTTGATATTTACTGTGAATGACACCGTTTGAATGTTAATTTCGGGAACACTGGCAGATGATGGAGTTAATGGTACTGGCGATGCTAGTTTTTGTTCAGTAACCTCTGAAAAAAAAATTGTAAATAATACATTTTCAAATATGTTGCCACTGTTTTAATAATGTGGTGCCGCCTAGTGTTGAAAATTGAAATGTTATTGTAATCAATTATTTTCCCCACTTTTATGCTGTGCAATTGACACATGCGTACACAGCACCGGTGTCTGTCAATACAATTGTGCACATTGTACATCGTAAGTGGATATATTTGTTTCATTTATTATGTGAAATGTTGCGTAAGACGCCACTCGTCGTAATATTAGGTTCAACAGCAACCGGCAAAACGAGACTATCAATTGAATTGGCGAATCGTTTCAATGGAGAAATTATTAGTGCAGATTCAATGCAAGTTTATAAAGGTTTGGATGTATCGACGGCCAAAGCAACACCCGAAGAACGTTCAAGAGTAAGTCACCGCGTATTTTAAAAATTACTATTCCATTGTTGAAGAATGCTATCCATTCTTTCGATTATTTTTCCATTACATCCATTTCAAAAAATCACAATATCAATATCTATTTAGTATGTAAGAAAGTAGTAAGGGTTTGATCACATATGTACACACATAAATTAAAAACAATTTGCAAATGAATTGAACGAAGCTGCGTTAGTAAACACTTTGCTGACAAAAATTGAGATTTGGTAGTAGTAGTAGTAGCAGTGGAGAGAACAACACACAAGGAATCAATATTGTACACACAGTAGCATTGCATCGGAACAACGTCACAACAACGACAACATGGCGATGCAAACGGATAAACGAAAACTGTATCAACAGCAACAAGAAATCACATTCGGGTAAGTTCGTTTGAATGCATATTCTACTCTGTTGTCATAATTGTCATGTTTTGCATAGTAGCCAACGCATTCGCTGTTCATTATCGGCTACTTGCAACGACAAACCGATTTGAATGTGTTGGTGTGAGAGTGTATTTGACTGTGACATTCCAAACCAACAAGTCGGCAATAAGTCACATCGTGTCGAACCATCACCAGTGTAAGAACTAAAATTGCTGCGCATAAATTTTTAGTTTGCATTAAAAGTGAAATATTCTAGCGAATTGGATTTTTGTCGGTTTTCCAGAAAAAGAGTTCGGTAAGTATTATTTTAAAATATAATATTAAACAGAATTTTCGATTTTTTTTTAAATTGACTGCATGGTAGAATGAGATTGAGATAGAGAGAAACACATTGAACACAATACAAAATCAAGTTAAATCATGAATTTCATCATTGCGCACAGTGGATAACGGGTACCGTTAGCCAATAGTGCGACGCAGTTTCTTATGATTTTTCAAAGTCTACTTAGACTCCGATATGCAATTGAATGTTTCTTTTTTTGGTTTTTTTAAGGGTTTTTTTTCATATTTTTTTTGTTTACAACATTCATTCATTGACAGGAACAACAAATCGGACACATCAAATGAAGAAGAATATGGACACATTTTTAGTTCTTACACTAGGAATCGTTCACAAACCGACCACAAACGATGTCAGAACCTGGAAAATATGAATAAAAAGGATCGGTAAGTTTTTTTTTTGCATTGCATTTTCTTCATTGTAAAATGAATTTAAATTCTATCGGATCAAATTTGTATTGATCAGTTTCTTAGTTTGCCCCAACTACGAACCGGTCCACAATCGTATTATTTCCGGCAACCATACAAACACACCAATTACCACAAACCGATGAATATGAATACAAAGGATCGGTAAGTGTGCGTTTTTTTCTTCAGAATGGCATTTTTTTCATTGTGAAATGAATTTTAATTCTATCGTATCGAATTTGTATCGATAAGTTTCTTAGTTTGCCCCAACTACGAACCGGTCCGCTATCGTGTTCTTTTCGGCAATCATACAAACACCCCGAGCAATACCATAAATCGGTGAATATGAATACAAAGGATCGATAAGTATGTTTTTTTCGGAATTGCATTTTCTTTATTGTGAAATGAATTTTAATTTTATCGTATCGGGTTTGTATCGATCAGTTTTCTAGTTTGCCCCAACTATGAGCCGGTCCACAATCGTATTCTTCCCCAGTACAAATAAAATGAATATCCTCCTCGGCCGTCTCCCGTAGTTTACTCCGTCTACGAGTAATTTACGTTGTGTGAGTAAGTGTTGTTTGGTTTCATTCATTGCCCGAGTGGAAAAAAAGTGACTAAGTTACTATTGACTGTAAGTGACAATAGTTAGCTATATTCATGAATTTTAAAATTTTGTATGGAAAACAATCGACTATAGTTACTCAGTCAGTCAGGCGATTATTTTGGGACGTTTTGACTATCGGGTGACTATGATTATTGTCAACTATAGTTAGCTGTTGCAGTTAACCATAGCTTACTTTAATTGATTGAAGTTAACTAAATTTAACTAAGGTTGCTTGTTTTTACAGTCAATAGCTTGGGGGGTTGTTTTCATAGGAAAAATGAAAACAACCCCCCAAGCTTCTCTTGACGTTCTCTTGGGTCTACCAAGGCTGGAAGACTTCATAGAGTCTGAAGCAATGAAAACGGCCTATAGATTGAGAATGGAAATAAAGACTAGGACAAGTCCTAGAAATTTGCATGATGATGCCCTAACAAATCTTTTCAATATTGACAAGATTTTGGGGGCTCCTTCTGACAAACTAATTACGACCTCCTACAATTTCGATAGGAGTTTCGAGATTATTATAACAAAAAGTCTCAATGAATTCTTCCAGCAAAAACAATGGGCACAAAACTCCTTTTTCACTGATGGTTCTGTCAGAGAAACAGGTAGTGGATGCGGCTTCTACTGTGAAACAGAGAACCTCACCTATTCATTTCCCCTGGGACAAACAACAACAGTCAAACAGGCAGAAATATCTGGAATTATTCATTGTGCATACAAAATACTGGGGGACCCAGTACGGGGAAATATAGCTATCTTCACAGATAGTTTGGGAGCCATAACTGATCTTAAGAATATTAAGATGCAAAATGGCTTGGCTATGAACTGTTACGAGGCACTCCAGCGCATTTCTGAAACGAACAACCTTAGGGTGGTTTGGATCAAATCTCATACTGGTATTCGGGGGCATGACCTGGCAGACGGGGCGGCAAAATTGGCTGCACACGATGCAATAGAGGGTCCAGAACCATACATACCAATTGAATATTCACGAGTCAAGAACCGATTAGCTACTTGGCTCAGCAACAGATCCCGCCTAAATTGGCAGGGTACGTTCTCATGTGAGCAAACGAAACACTTCGTTCAATTCACATGTTCAAAACTCACGGTGGAATTAGCCAAATTACCCAAGGAAGACCTCCGGATGGTAATTGGTTTACTTACCGGGCACGCCAGGGTCAATTCTCATATGAGAAATCTAAATCTCAGAGACGACCCGGACTGTAGACTGTGTGGTGGAGAAGGGGAAACCACTGCCCACCTCATAGATAGATGTCCAATGTTGGATACCATACGGGCTGACTTCACGGGCTGGAGATCCTATCCTTTGATTCATGCACCGAGTGTATTCAAATTGGTAACATTTTTCAAACGGGCATGCGATGACAATCCATGCCTTAGAAACATTTTTGGATAAAAGACTATTCTAGTGTATTCAATACACACACGGGCGTCTTGCAATAAGTTATGAAACTTGAGCAACGAGAAACTATATTAAAATTTTACTGTTTAAATAGGACACTCCCCGTTTTAATCCAATAATCCAAAAAAAAAAATTTTTTTACAGTCAATAGTCAGTCACTTTGTCCCAAAATAGTCAGTCACTTTTTTTGTACGCGGGTGTAGACCGATTGATATATTAATGGTGATATTTTCTTTCTTTATTGAAATAGGTAGTGGCCTTGGCACCAAGTGCTATTCTATAGTAAGCATTTTGTTTTTGTTTTTCTTCCACAACAGAACGCGATTCTTAACACTACTACCAAATCTCAAATTAAAGCAATGTTGTTGCAAATGTGTGACGCTTAAACTATACAGATTTGATTTTCATCATATGTTTCCATCACTTACATTACGTTCCATTACATATTGATTAATTTCCATTATTTCCATTCTTTTCTTTGTGATTAACCCTAGGCAGTTCATCACATGTTGGATATTTGTGATATGAAAACAAGAACATTTACCGTTGTTGATTTTCGTGATGCGGCTTTGCCAAAAATTGAAAAATTGCTCAACAATAATAAAAAGCCGATAATTGTTGGTGGAACAACATATTACATTGAAACATTGTTATGGAAAGTGTTGATTTCATCGAATGAACAAAAAGACCACTATAAAATGGATTCGAGTGATGCTTATAATCAAATGCCATTTGAAGATATTATGAAAAAATTAAATTTCAATAATGTTAATCTTGACGATAATTTGTATTTACATAATGCACTTTCCAAAGTTGATCCAGTGACCGCCCAAAGTCTTCATCCAAACAACACACGTAAAATTCGCCGAGCATTGGAAGTGTACATTCAAGTAGGTCGTCCAATGAGTGAAGTGCTAGAAGAACAAAAATCTTCCAAAGGCAGCAGTTACTTAGGTGGTCCAATGCGATTCGAGCACGTGATACTCTTATGGATAAAATCTGACCAAGCGAAATTGAATGCCCGTATCGATAGACGAATTGATAGCATGGTTAATGATGGCATGTTATTCGAAGTACGTCAGTGTTACAATTTATTGAAAATTAGTGGTATCGATCCGCAGAGAGGAATTATGCAGGCAATTGGGTTTAAAGAATTTCTACCATATTTGGAACAGTATACCGATGAAAGTTTTGACACCGAAATCACCGAATTTATTCGTAAGCATGGTGGACTGACTGGTCAAAAGAAATTCATAGTGAAAAATCGAATTTCCGATGCCTTGAAACTATTGGAAAATTGCTTGGATGACTTGCGATTGCACACAAAACAATACAGTAAACGACAAATCAAGTGGATACGAAATCGTTTGGTGTCGACAAAAGGGCGGAATGTGCCACCCGTTTATGAGCTTGACAGTACAGATGCAGAAACAAATTGGAATGATAATGTGTTCAGCAAAGCCGAATATATCATTCAATCATACATCGATAATGTTGAAACGAAAATAAAACCAGCCGAGAAAAAAGACCATCTGGCATCCAGTTTGAATATGCATGTCACGCATTTTTGTGATGTTTGTAACAGACGTTTTGTTGGAGATTTAGACTTTAATGTCCACATGAAATCATCTATACATCGAAAAACAGTTGAGAAGCATCGCAAGCTGGCAGCAGCAAAAATTAATAAACAGTCCATTTTAACACAAATCGTTTATAGCATATGGAATTTTTGTAACGAGACAAGAAAGAGGATTTTCTCAAATTTTTCGAGAAAATAGGATTTTCGACCATAGTTTTACCACACGTGTGTATTTGATGAAATAAGAAATGTTGTATTGTAGAAATAGTGCTTTTTAAATATGTACATTTTATGGTTCGATCAATAAAATGACAAATTATCAAGAAAAAAATAATAGATTTGCTCATATTACTTACCATGATGAAAACCACTTGTGTCACTCAGAATATTGTTACATTCTAGCATTCGAACGGCACTCAAACCTTTTCGGCCCAATGCGAGTATGATGTGTGCAGTCAGGCCGATTCCCATATTTGCATCTTGACCATCACTTAAAGGAAATTCACTCCAGCTTCCGTCTTCGTGTTGACGATCCAATATCCATTTTGAAGCAGCTGCTCTCGACCATGCTGCGCTTGGTATTACATTCAAGTCTTGTAATGCTTGCATTGCTAAAGCTGTGCTTCGCAATGTACCAACATTCCCCTGTGTCGTTTGCATCAATGCCAATCGTAGCGATGATTTACGCAGAAAATGCTCTAAATGACGATTGTGATGGTCATTCATCACACACCGCAATGCTAATATGGCAAATGCCGTTGTTTCTATGCCAAAATAGTAAAATACACATTATGTAAAAAAAATCTCATTCCCATGTTATTTTGCTATATTTGATGTTTTTAGTTGTTGTTCTTGTTTATTTTACCGATACTTTGATTATTCTCAAGGGCAATATCAATCAATTGACGAATTTGACGTTTTCGAACATGTTCGCCCAAACTGCATACGGCAAAAGTAGAAAGCGCAAATATTTGATCATCATTAGATTCGTGATGTTGAAGCATCGTTAAAAGGTCGTGCTGATTCATAAAATGCTTTGGATCTTTGCATAAAGCGCCTGTAAACAGAAATCCATGATCTGATTAATTAAATAATTTCTATGGGATTTTGTGTTCACATTACCTAAGGCTAATGTGAATAGAGCTAGTTCAGCAACGTCAAAATTTCTCGGCATAACAGCATGATGATGATGATCGATTAGCGATAAAATCTCAATCGACATTTGCTTAATCGATAATTGGTCTTCCAAAGTTTGAATAATTTGGATGTGTGCATCGGTTGATTCAGCAAAATCTCGTTCGCCCGACAGCTACCAATCGATTCGCATGTCAATATATCGATTCATTAGTATGCGCTCATTTAAATATGGATATGTACAGTGAATCTAATATTTTTGGTAGACAAAATTTTGCATGACACACTCCACTCACACGCCATTCGTATATGAATCCTATGTTAGTGGAGAGTTTCTCTGCTAACTTTGCTTGTTATTTTGTCTATCAAAAAAATTAGATTCACTGTATGTGTGTGCATAATGAATAAATTAAAATTGAAAAAAATAAGCCTACCTCTTTCGCAAGTATAACCATATGGGTATCATTTCCCCATCCATAATCAGGGAATCGTTTCTCTCCCAACCAATCCAATGCACGTGTAATTGCTTCACTCTCACGTTGATTTGGCCCTTTCGTTCCGATATAAACATGCTCGCCGAATGGATTTTCAATTTCAATCACGGTCAACGGTGATTCATCTGCTGAAAATTCTGGAGACTGCATTGGTATTGAATTGGAAGATGTGCTTTCTAATGTATTATATGATACGGAATCCGATTCAGTTGAACCCATGACACGTACAGCCTTTTGACTAGAGCTAGGCCATGACGATGGTGTGCGTGAAAATTCGGAACTGGTTCCTGTAAATTCAAAAAAAAAAACCAAACCAAACAAGAAAACAGAGGTAATTAGACATTGCGTAGCGAAAATGTGTATAATTTTCGGTGACAAATTACCAGTCGAGTTGAGCTGAAATATAGGATTTGAAGTTGCCGTTGCAGTGACTGTTGATGTTGAAACCAGAGATACCGCATTTATTCCACTAATGATTATTGTTACTGCAAACATCCACACGACGATGGATAGGGTAATCTTGTGCAAAAGTTTTGCGTGATCCATGTTGTGTTACTTGATTATATTGTGCTATTGCTGTTTGTCCACCGCTAACACTGGTATACGAGCACAAGTGTTGTCCTTAACAACGATATAAAAACAAACAAACCGTCACAAAACACGATTTAATTCAGGAAAAAAAGGGGAGGTCACTTTGAAGTGTAACAAACGATAAAAAAAAACCATAGTGCTGCAATACAGCCAATTATAATGTCATGCATTTGAACCCATATGAATCGGTGAAAACAATGAAACTGTGACTTGAAATACTTGGATTCATTTTCTTTCCACCTATATTCGCGATTATAAGCGAGATGAAAGTAAGACGACTTTAATTTCTCCGACCCATTTTATAACATTTAAATCATTTCCAGTGGCTTTCTTTAACTCACTTTCTCTCGCTTTTTCTGTCTTCACCATAACGAATATATAAACTTAACCGAATGGGTGGTTTGTATTTAATCTTTTAATGTCAGGAAAGAAATTGTGTTCGCTCTCTCTCTTTCTCTCTCACGGTCAATCTCAAGCCGGAGAGAGTTTGAAACATAATTTGAAAATTAATTGGCCGTAATAGACATCGATATTTCAGTTCAATGGCTTCGAAAAGAAGATACGAACTGAATTATTTTCTTGTATCTTATCCATGCAATCATTTGAGATTGCTCGACTGCAAGCTTGCTTGCGTGCGTTTGTTCGTTCATTTATTCCTACGTCCATCCCCGTTGCTTGAAATCCAGCACGCAACGCTATGTAATACAATTATGGTGCTAATGAAAGTTTCTTGCATAAAATTATTTACATGAAAGTATTTAATGATGCGAATTAGTTGCTTACATTTGCTTTCAACATACCAAGTGAAGATGGTCTTGAGTTAAAAATAGCAAATAAATCCGATTTTCCAATTGAACTCGCATATCATTGAACTTTTGTCATACAATGATTTTTGGATAGAATAGATCCGTAAGATCTCCGCAAGATCCGGATCCAAGCGTGCGTACGTAGCCGCATGATACATACATTCCTTACTCCGTAATGCTATGGCATGCGAATCAAAGAAGGGGAAATAAGAATAACGAATTTGCGTGCGTATTATATATGTATGCATCATGCGGCAGCGTACGCACGCTTGGATCTGGATCTTGCGGAGATCTTACGCATCTATCCTATCTAAAAATCATTGTATGACTTTTGTTTATTCGGTTGTCAAACAAATCATCACCAACATTGATAATAATAACCAAAATGCAAACATGATATTGTGAATTAGTACTTGTATAAGGGCAATTTGAACGTTCACATTTAATCGACCGTTTATGGTTTTCACATCGAAACTGAACGTATCTGATTTTTGTATTCAATTTTCTGGTAAAAAATGTTATACATCGTTTAATATGCGTGGCTTTTTTTTTCAACATCTGGAGTATTTGATTTGCCTCATTCAATCACGAAAAAAGGCGCATCATTTTTTAATAAAAATTAATTAGAAATTGTTATCAATTTAAAATAAAAACACAATAAATTCGTGTGTGATTTGCTTTATTTTCAGTACCTAAGATTACTGTAATCACCATAGATTCTGGAGTTGGGGTAATGATGATTTAAGCCCCTAGGGAAATTGAAATTTTTTTGACGAGTATGGAAAACCCTAGGAAAATTGAATAATTTTTACGTTTGAGGGGAGGGTATTTTGTACCCTGACCCCCTGGTCAGAATCTATGGTAATCTCGATAAATCTTACAAAATAAATATGAAATTAGATTCAGAGAAGCAGCCGTAAAACGAATAATATTGCGACAAACATTGAAAAAGAGAAAAAGTTTCAGATTTTGTAGATCCTGTAAAACAGAGCATGGAAAACATGACAGCTCGGCAACGCTTTATTAGAGATTAGTACCGCTGGCAACCGCAGAACTATATAGAATTATATGAAGTTATTTGGTGGCGTTAGTAAGCAATGTTGTCTTATTGCCATGCTTTGCTGTAAAACGATGAGCGTCACCCACATTCTCATTAAAACTACTCCACGATATGGATGTAAAATGCTGGATTAATGTTCTCATTGAGCTGTTTCAAGTCACCACAAATTTGGTGCATCATACGCGCCCCAAAACAATCCCGTAGAATTTGGCTGAACACATTTAACTTGTGCGGATAATAAGAGAATCATTATTTTCATTGTTCATCTTAATGATATAATCTAAAGTAATTAACAATGGTTTGCCGTCAACATATAAAACAGACGTTTTAATATCGGTGGTTTGATTGCTCTGCGTTGGTAAAAATAGAAAGTACATGGTAAGATGATTACATTCATTGACCTTTTTCTCATATTTTGTGTATAAGTGTGTGTATGGCTGAAAGTCACTTGAAAAATGTGCGGTCGTTTGTTTTTCTTTCTCAGAGAAAATGAGTGCCGATGTGATATGTAGCAAAATAGTAATAAATTATACGCAAAATTTTCTTTCCTTCTCGGTCTTTTCTATAATAAATGCTTTTGGCTGGTGTTGATCCTGTATTCATAATATTATCATAATTTCGGTGATCAATCAGTAAAATGTAAAAGACCGCCGGTTCGAACGCATCGTTCAAGATTTTTAATGGCCAAATTTTGTTCACGTTGATCGCCCTAATTTTCTAGGATGTGTGCAAAAGAATTGCCCAAACAGATGACCGCATCAAAACCATTACCAATCAATGGTTTAATGTCATCGTATATAATGTTAACCAATTGGCTTCCTAATTACTTAATGTAAAATATGGAAAACAACAATTGAATGACTTGTATGAAAATGAAGATATAAAGAAGATCGTTGGATGCTTACTCCAATTATCAAAGCCGGGCTCTTTGCGGCGATTTCAACGCTCTTTTAGTGCATACTTAAGCATTTTGTCGGCAGCACCAACTGAAACCACATCAAAACATTTTCCTGTATATAATTAAAAACGTCGTAATGGTTTTTATTATATAGTATTCATGGTCTGGTTATACGCAACCAAATAATTTGAAATTAATAAACCAACCATTTGCTCTTTTCGTTCGTACTTTTTATTTTATTTCATTTTGACAATATTAAATTAAATCAGTATATATTTGAGTTGTGATTTTACCCAGTGCCACAAGCAACGTCAAGCATTTGAGAACTTTTATCACCGACGAACACCTCCCATACCTTGGCCGCACGCCCGTCAGCATACTGATCACGGATACCATCGACTGATATACCGTCAAAACGTGATTGCATTTTTGTGCTGTCACCAGTCACCATCGTCGTATTCTCTTTAGAAATATGACACTTTATCCAAATATTTCACCAGACACAATTTTTTTTCTTTCTTATTTCTGCTTCTCCACCGCTCGGTTTCACTTCTTGCAACGAACTTTCCACTCTAATCCCCGTGTACAAAGCGACACAACTTTATTAAGTTTATTTAGTGCCTCGATGCCGCGTATATATGAAAAGAATGTTTGAATGAGGAACGAACACCCCGGAATTATTTCACTCTACTGCATAGTAGATCGTTCAGCAGCTCCCTTCGAATATTATTCACAGCGAATGTCGCACATACATTTTTCATATATAATAATAATGAAATAGAGCATATGAAATGTGTTTATAACGAAGAAATGACATAGCACTCTCTTCCCTTTTTCTCTTTTCTAATATAAAGTGTGTATGTGCTATGTACTCTGTGTATGTTTTCGGCCAAATAAATATACATGGACTTTTGGGGTACGATGTTCATGTTTTTGTTTTGGATTATATTGAAAATACGTGAAATCATAAGCTTTTGCCTGTAGAAAAACAAAGACTATTTTGATTCAGCGCTGATAACATCCATTCACTCGCAGTAATCACGTTCGCAGTTTTTTTTTCTTTTGAAGCATCGAGATAGACTGTATATGTATGTGCTGAAACCTTCAAAATCATGTTTTTATCATTTTTATGTAAAAGGATGTAGTATTTTTGTGAAAATGCGTACAGTAAAATAATCATTCATAAATTTTCACGATGACCAAAATCACAGTATTACGCGTTTTTTTATTTATTGTCTACGTTTCAATATTTTTAATTTCACCGTTGGGTTGATTACACAGATTGAATAGGTGTTTTTTCGTCGATAATAGCAAAAACATACTTTTCGTTGGAATTACACAAATATAGAGAATAAATAAAGAGTCTTACGGGAGTAAGATGAACTTTTCCGCACGGTGGTAGTTGCGTATTTTATTAAGAAAGTTCAAAATAATATTTGCTCGATTCTTCAAGTCTTTCAAGCGGCGTAAAGTTCGAGACCAAAAAATATTTTTCAACTTTGGCAACGAAATATTCTTTAATTTAATAGCAGAAGTACCCGAGAAAAGATTTTTCACACTTTCATGATGAGCCCATTTGTACGACATTTGAAAGTATTCTATTTTCTAACAAAATACTATAAAAATATGTCTGACGTTAATTTTGCCATGAAGATTATTTTTGAAACACTTTTCATAACTAAAGTCACAACAAATTTGGATTTTTGTATGGGAGCCATGTCTGTATGCTACCTTAATGGCGTGAAACTTTGCACAGGTTATTTTTTTCACAAATAACATTCGGAGGGTTTGGAGAAATTTCAACCAAAATCAAGAGTACCTCCCATACAAAATATTCGTTTTTGAGCCAATTGAAAATTTTGTATGGGAGGTACCCCTAATTACTTTTCCGCACACACATAGTGTGAAAGGGGAAAGTATTGTAATGGGTCAAAATTTACGACATCTCAAAAACATGTTTTCTGGACGTTTCTGAGGTCAGAGAACCCGAATCAGGCCGTTTTGAGCATGGTTGTTGTGGGTCTGTTCCACGTCGTACGTCGTACGTCGTACGTCGTACGTCGTACGTCGTACGTCGTACGTCGTACGTTGTCCGCCGTACGCAAAATTTGTCCATCGATTATCTCACCCCCCAGAAAAGTTATTTAAAATCTGACTTCACGGGATGATTGGGGGTCCCGAGGAATAGAAATCATTAGATTTTGAGCGATTTTGGTTGATGGAAAAAAATTTCATGCCTGGAGTGATACCTATGAAAAAGAGTCCAATTTTCGTCCAAAAGTCATACTTAATGTAGACTTAAACACTCAAAAATATGTAATGGGGGGTTTTTTGGCACGAGAAAACCGAATCCGAGGTTAGTTTCGAGATACAATCAATTTTTGATACAGTTTCCTTGGAAAAATCACAAAAAAATTGAATTTTCGTATGGGAGCCATGCCTGTTTGCTACTTTAATGACGCGAAACTTTGCACAGACTATTTTTTACACAAAATAATAACATTCTGAAAGTTTGAAGAGATTTCAATCAAAATTAGGGGTAACTCCCATACAAAATTTACAATTTTTGGCTCAAAAACGAATATTTTGTATGGGAGGTACTCTTAATTTTGGTTGAAATTTCTCCAAACCCTCCGAATGTTATTTTTTGGTGAAAGAAATAACCTGTACAAAGTTTCATGCCATTAAGGTAGCATACAGACATGGCTCCCATACAAAGATCCAAATTTTTTGTGATTTTAGTTATGAAAAGTGTTTCAAAAATAATTTTTATGGCAAAATTAACGTCAGACATATTTTTTATAGTGTTTTGTTAAAAAATAGAATACTTTCAAATGTTGTACAAATGGGTTCATCATGAAAGTGTGAAAAATCTTTTCTCGAGTACCTCTGCTATTAAATTAAAGAATATTTCGTTGCCAAGGTTAGAACATATTTTTTGGTCTCGAACTTTACGCCGCTTGAATGGCTTGAAAAATCGAACAAATGATATTTTGAACTTTCTTAATAAAATACGCAACTACCACCGTGCGGAAAAGTTCGTCTTACTCCCGTAAGACTCTTTATTTTAATTGAAATCTCTTCAAATTTTCAGAATGTTATATTTTTGTGTAAAAAATAGTCTGTGCAAAGTTTCACGTCATTAAGGTAGCATACAGGCATGGCTCCCATACAAAAATCCAAATTTTTTGTGATTTTTTCAAGGAAACTGTATTAAAAATTGATTGTATCTCAAAACTAACGTCGGATTCGGTTTTCTCGTGCCAAAAAACCCCCCAATACATATTTTTGAGTGTTTAAGTCTACATTAAGTATGACTTTTGGACGAAAATTGGACTCTTTTTCATAGGTATCACTCCAGGCATGGAATTTTTTTCCATCAACCAAAGTCGCTCAAAATCTGATGATTTCTATTCCTGGGGACCCCCAATCATCCCGTGAAGTCAGATTTCAAATAACTTTTCTGGGTGGTGAAAAAATCGATGGACAAATTTTGCGTACGGCGGACAACGTACGACGTACGACGTACGACGTGGAAGCGACCCACAACAACCATGCTCAAAACGGCCTGATTCGGGTTCTCTGACCTCAGAAACGTCCAGAAAACATGTTTTTGAGGTTTCGTAAATTTTTACCTATTGCAATACTTTCCCCTTTCACACTAGGTGTGTGCGGAAAAGTAAAAAGTGTCTAAATAATTTAATGAATGGAAATATAGAAGCTTCCCTGCACTTGTTTTGAAACTGAAAATCATATTACGTTATTTCATCGATGTTTGAAAACACCGTCGCATGTCCCAACGTGCATACAACATTTTTAGTTTTTCTCTATTCAAACTAAAACCCTTGGAGTCACGAATGGCGTTGAACGAGCTTTTTTAGTCGTGGCTCATATGCATTCATTCCATCTTGAAGATTGTTCAGAAAGAATAAAAAAAAAAAACGATTGAATCTATTAAATTGTGTAAACCTAGTGGTTCTGTGACACGAAAAAAGAACAAAAGATGAATTTTAAATAATCATGGTGTATTGGCGTGAAATCGTGCTCATAACGCTGCCCAAGTCAGTATAATACTCTTTTCGAAGAGTGTACACTCTCTTCGTATAGTTTTATTCGACTCTCTTCTCACTCTCTTCTCACTCTTTTGCATAAAACACGTATATTCAATTCCCACTCCTTCCTTGTGTACTATGCATACACAACAAGTGTACTGTGTTTGATGCAAAAGAGTGAGAAGAGAGTGTACACTCTTCGAAAAGAGTATTATACTGACTTGGGTGATTATGAAAAATTTGTGGCAAATTGCAACAGCAATTAATGCCATTATCATTAACGCATTTAAAAGAATTGTGTGTCCCAGATTTTTACGTGATGTCCATCTGTTTTTGTCATTTTTATTTTTATCGCATAAATATTTTTCATGCAGAAAAACCGTCAGTTTCGTTTATTGAATGAAATTGAAGAGGTTATGAATGGCAACGTATTCAATAAAAAGTGACGCACTCAGAATACTGACAAATCATTCTGAGTCCAACAAAAAATCTATATAAAAAACATTTATTTATTTTGAGTGTTTTTTTTCGACTTTTTTTTTACTCGTGTGGTAATTTTTCAAAAAAAAAATCAATTTGTATTTTTTCCACATGAATTGAAAAACAGCATGGCAAATGAATCGTTTATCACTGTTCACAGTTAATCATCGACTCTTATCACTATAACACGCTGAAATGTAGTACATAAACGTGTTAAGAAGGGGAAAAATAATTTTTTTCGAAAAATCTCTTATCATATTATTATTTCATCATTGTTTACCAGTGACTCTTCAAATATACCACGACCTAAATGGATGACAAACGGTAAATATAATTTTGTTGAAAATGAAATGAACCGAAAATGATGATGATGATGATGATGGTGGTGGTGGTGGTGGTATTAGAACAATCGTTGTAAAGCAACGAAATGTAAGTTTTACGAAAAATGAACAACAACACTTTAAAGAAATAGTTGACGTGTTAATTGTTCTTTTTTCTATCAGACTGGAAAGTTTGAAACTAACCAAACAACCGTAAATGGTCGTATTTTCTGTAAAATCAATTGAAATTGTTGTACTCAAATTATATTTTCTCATATAAGTTTGAAATCGATTTGAAAATTGTTGCAATCCATTCCTTGACTGGTATTATTTGGCTATTGGCGTACGATATTTGTATTTTATACAAGCCTCTTGAATGTTATACAAACATAATCGGCATTGCTGATTCGATAGTCATGCGATTTCTATAAACAGAAGGCGTAATTTTTTTCGATCGAATTGAAAGTTTCAATGGGGTGAAGTCAGAATTGGCCTGTGTTTTGAAAAAGTTATCCAGCAAACTGGTAACAATAGGAGCATCACATGCAAAGAATCAACTCGCTGGACCGTGATTTGTGTTTGTTCAAACAATTAGAGAAATGTAAATATTGAATTTTCCAGAGAGAATGAAAGGTCTATATGCTGAGATCACGTTGCCGAGACAACGATCAAAATTGCTATGAACACGGAAGAAAATATCTCAACTTCGTTTTTTTTTCCTCGTTTCACAAACTTTATGAAAGACGTATCAAAAGTCGAAAGTTTTTGAAATGTGAAGCCTTTTTCGATTTGAATTTATAGAATTTTATTTCCCATCATTACAGATGCAAAAAAAGTTTAAAGTGAGTATTTTTTCTGGTTGCATCCAACATTGTTACGAAAATATAAAATGAACCTAAAACAACAGTAAAAACGACTACGTTTATGTCGCCTTCACCATTCAAGCGACACATTATCGATTTCCGTTCTAGATGTAAATTATCTGGCGAATTAAATAAAAAGCGTGGCAAAGACATGGAGGTTATTGATCTAAGATAAAAAAATGACTATATAGCACTTACCGCCAGCAATTTTTTAACTCTCTCTTTCAAAATGGCCAAGACATGATGAAAATAAAATACCAGATAAATAACCAGGAAAATTATGGTGTTCAGTTTTAACCACGTGTTCGAGTAATGTCCGCTTCAATTTAAATCCAAGCAAGTATTTTATAGATCAGTCGTGTGCGAGGAAAATTTTTCAGGGGGGGGTGGTGATTTTTCGAAACCAAGAATTTCTCTAGCAAATCAGACAAATTTTCGTTTTTTTTTTTTGGAAGTCACTTTTTGAGGTGAAAATCGAAAGAATTTTCTCCGCGAAAAACCCTAGCAAATCGGAAAAAATTCTCTCGGAACCAAAAACCCTTGGAAATCGAAAGAATTCTCCTCAATTTTCTACAGTGATGAGCTAAAAAAAATGGTCTTCACTTTTTGAATCAAAAACCCTAGCAAATTCGAATAATTTTTCGCGAAAATATTTTATCGGCCAAATCTCAGGGGGGTAAACCCCCTACCCCCCCTCCGCACACTACTGTTATAGATGTGTGTGAGTGTCGAGGAAGAACGAGTGATTTTAAAAGCATGCCATGCATTCATAACATCGAATGCAAGGATGGAAAAAAGAGGCTGTCAATTTCGTTTCGTTCGCCAGCAAACGTGACATGAAACAATGAGCACACACACAACGGAAGCGAACGGCAGTTAAGCCAATAGTTAAATAAGTGTAAGTGACAAGACATGAATCCATGACCAAAACTGTCAATTCGGAAGCAAGAGCACGAGCAAGAGAAGCGAAATAAGAGAAACCGCAAAATGTATAAAATGTTCTTGATGGAGATCCCGGAAAAGTTCGAATGAAGTTTTTCATATAACACAACCGGGCGCCCATTCCGTTATACTGAGAGCATAGGTATTTAGCCAGCGCCTCATCAATATAGTCGCCCATACTAAGTAACAACAATAATAACAACAAAAGTGGTTAATTTTTTTTTTGAAGAGCTCCGTACTAAATTTTGTAATGTCTTCAAAACTAAAAGAGGATATTTTAATTAAAATTGTAGTTTGTAGATTGCGCCACAATGAATGTGATGGACGTGTAGAATTCTAGAAAATCACAACTTAATTAAAACTACTTACAATGTTGTTTAATGTTCTTGTTTGCTTCAGCTTGCATCCAATTCAAGCTAACATTGCTAGCTCTCACACACATACACACACACAAATACGCGCGCGCACCCACCCCAATCTATATATAAATTTATTACGTGCAAGAAATTAAAAATCATTTTTGGTTGTGTGTCGACACTCAAAGCGTAAATCGAGTGAGAGGGTGAACGAACGAACGAGAAATCGTGAGAACAAGCAAACCAGAGAGTATCAGATTTCGAATACCAAGGGTCTGTGAGTGGTGTGGTTTCGCATAGAAATTCCATCGGTGATACATACATGTTGCTAAGCTTTCTGTATTCTATGTCGCAAATTTCGAATTTATTGTTTTACAGGCGCTTTATTTTGTCATTGCAACTATTTTCATTTGAAAATGAAAAGATGAGAAGAAAATTGGGGGAGAAGAACTTGTTTACAGCAAAACGTTCATTTCACTCTTTTTTAATATACCAAGCAATTTTCTCCTTGCTACTCGGCAAAGCGGCAATGACAAAACGCTAAAAAGGGTACAAGAAACACCATCGGCACATGATTTGAAATCGTTGCTTTTGTGCGCCTTTCTTATCTACGCCCCAAATGTTACATGAAAATTTTCAAAGAAAATGAAAATGTGTCGTTTTGTTCAACGAAAATGAATTTATGGCGAAAATCGGATTTATTTTGTGCTCGTCGTCGTCACAATGAAACGTTGTCTGAACTAGAATTTATCTCTCTCGCACTCTCTCTCTTTCTGTATGTGCTCCGTATTGTTTTTAATTCATATTTCCTCTTGTCGAAGACGAACACACGAGTGCGATGCTTTTTAAATGCTCTGTGCAATTTTCATTTGTGCTTAAAATTAAATCAACCTTAATCAAATGGTGTCAACAGTGACACTCCAACCATTTTGCAAACGCTTACTGTGCGAGGCCCATGAAATATTCATAATAAAAACCAAAGTCGGTTTCTCTTGAGTGACTTCTATTAAATTGTTATCGAATCGATGTCACTGCTGCTCTTCACCAATTTCAAATTTCCTTTTGTTCTCAAATGCGAATTCAAATAAAAAAAAATTATTACTTTTTCCAATAAGTGTGAGTTCAGAAATGGTGGAATTTTTGTACATGTTTAATGAGATTTTAATGAATAAAATGGAACACAGTGCATATATATATAAAGTGGCAGAGAAAGAGAAATGGGCTTTTTTGTTTGGGGTATGTACACAATTTTTCCTCTGATTAAAATCAATGACAAAAGAAATGAACCGTAAATAGACTGAATTAAAATGGACTGTTCACATTTAAATGAAATTGCCTTGCGGCACACCAGTCAAAGAAATTTATTGATCACATTTTCACGTTTCCAAATCGATGCCATTTTCTCTTTAATGAGCATATGGTGTGTGTGTTGCGAAATTGGTGCTTAGGAACAGCTGATATTATTTGTCAATGTCATGTGATGTCCCCCTTTTATATTCGATTCATTGTTTTACTTTTCTAAGTTTATGGTGCCAAAAGCACTCATACATAAATAGTAAATTACCTTATTGATTTGAAACTGGCTACAAGCTTTTCACGTGCAACAAAATCATGTAATTATACAAGAAAACACGCTTATGTAAAAGCAATAATGACAGCGAGGCTCCAGAAAAAATCCTTTCTTACTTTCTTTCTTACTTTTTTCCCCTTTACGAAAAGAGTTACACAAGATATGACTTCACTTGAACGAAAAGTTTTTATTCATGTCTTTTTTCCACAACGATTTTACGAGCCTTATGCATGTGATATGTTCTGTTTACACTTTAGTCTGTTATTCTGTAGTTGACAAGTTTTTCAAGTTGAAAACAGATTCAACGACACAACAAGAATTGAAGCTGGATTCAAATGAGCTAAATAATTATTTAGTGGGTATTCACTTTACGATTTGAACACTTCATTTAGGCTTGAATTAATAATTTTGGCTTCCGTTGCTTTTTGTTAACGTCACATACAAAGCCATTCATACGAAACTGTCTATTTTACGTAATGAGCTTCACTTGCATAACCTTTGTGATGTCGTCGAACTTGTCGATATATTCTTCGCGAATTTTACCTCTATTCAATAATGAAAGACGTAGTTTGTGTGCTATTCAAACAAACGAGTTCGGCAAATTGGTACCACTTTACCAATCAATAGAAACAGTGAAAAAAAGCGACCAAAAATGCTCAAACAAAACTATATGTGAGCGCACGAAAACTCAATATAGAACTAATAGAATACGAGCGTTAAACACCCGGTGTGCGAGTTTTTTTATGTATTGTTCAACGAAAAGCCAACAATCGACTGAATGTTTTCTCTTCCATCCATCCAACCATCCATCGCGTGTATATCCAGTTTTCCAATCTAATGTGCAGTGGATGCGCCACGATGACGTTGGCTCTCGCAGAAACAACAACAATAACTCTAATAACAACAACGGCAACAAAACCATAACAGTCATATAACAATGCCGTTCGACATCGACAATGTTGTCTTTTGTGTTATGCTCAACACAGTCACTTATTAATGATGAACGTGCACAGCAGTGGCAAAGTAGCAGCAGGAGCAGAAGAAGCGACAACGTACACACGACTCCGTAACTCGTTCGTGCGCATGATGACACAAAATCGTGAGCAAAAAGGCATGGGGAAAAAGGAATTGCGCTTGATAACTTTATGCGAACCATTCCACTCAGGAAGTGAATGCTATTCTGTGCTCTTTCGCTTTCGAAGCGTACGGAAAATACCAGATTTCATTGCAATATCGTTAGCGAAAGACTACATATTCTATCTCTCGTTGCGAATTTATTCGCATCGTATATAAATATTGGCTTACAGAATATAAAAATTCACAATATTAATTCCCAAGGAGAAAGTGACACATCGATCACATTCATGTGTCTTTCATGTGTGTTGTAAAAATTTGCTTGGTCAAATGGTTTTTGACGAAAAGATTTTCAGATATACAAATATTGGATTCTTTTTTTTCTTCATTTCTCTGGAGGTTTAGCAAGAGGATACTTTTCACAAAGCAATAACATTGGACGCGTATGCTACTTGGGCTCATCAATCACTAACAATAGCAAATGCAGAGGCAGAAGTCAGACGCCTCGTTATCGTCTATCCCTCTGGTATTTTTATGATTGCAAATGTGAACTGGATGGCGTCTTCGTCCCGCTTTTTATTTTAATTTGGGGGCCAAATTACGTGCATCAGCTTGATACATAAAAGAAACACGCTTATCTATATGGTTTTCACTCGTTTTAACTCAAACTCAAATATAGTCGATGTCTGCTAAACTATACATACACAGCCACTCGATGCCAGTTAAAGACCATAATCGGTGTGTGCGTGTGTTTTGCCATTGTCGATTTTCTTTTGTACTCCACAAGTTTTTCGAACGCTTCGTTTCAAAACGTGACGATTAATCGTCATATACTGCCTTTAAACTTGATTTTCAATAAATACATTTCGTCGGTTGTTGAAATAGCCAGTTACTATAAATTTTCACTAGCAAAATGACAGTAAGCAAAAAAAAAGTAAGTGAAAACAATGCACCAAGAATATGTGATCTGATTTAAATCAGAGTGTCTATCTCTCTCTTCTTCCGTTTGTGTTAAACGTCTGTATTCACAGCAGTCAAGCCAAATGATTTTGATTACGGTTTTGACCATAAAGTGTGAAAGATTCCGCAGACATAAATGGCTTCAACAAAATCACATGCCGGATGCTTAAAAAAAGGGAAATTGAAATTTTGAAAGCAATGCAGAATCGATTTCAACCAAATTACATCGTTTGGCACATCTGTGCAGCATTTTTCGTCGTTATTGATGACGTTTTATTCAATGAAAATGAACTACGCCTTCTCTCCAAGCGAAACGAACGAATATAAAAAGTTTCGACAAGTCAACTTTGTCGACAACTGTATACATATATCCATATCCATGAGCTCATTTTCCGTTCATCTCGAAATGATATAATAATTTCCGAAAGATATATACAAAGCTTAAACATATCACTACTACTTGAAAATTTCGGGCTTATTTTTTAAGTCTCTTAAAATAATTTGCGGTGACCGACGATAAATTGGAATTGTAACAGACTCCCATCCGACCGACTTATGTAGTAGTAACATTGAGGTTGTCGGATGTCGGTCTATGGTATTGTTAAACACTCGACCGAAACAGAAAAAAAATTAACGCTTGAAATTGCTACGAACTGAAAATTACCGCTTTAAATGCAAAACCCTTAATCTATGCAGCCGAAAAAAATTGTTCGCAGGATAAATACTATAGTTTATCTATTCAGCGTTGAAACGACCGACATGCCGGAATATCAAGCTAGTTGCCAGTTTTGTTGGAAATGAAAGTAATAACAACATTTTAAAGTGAGAAAATAATTGCATTGTGGTGCTCTTGCGCTTCGACCAGTGTAATTGCGAACGCAAACAATACACACAAAAAACACCAACGAACAAAACATACACACCAACCGACCAAACCAACCCAACCGACCAGGATCTATATTATATGATTGTGCCAAAATCAATGCATGTAGCACGCAGCAGGGAAACGCCAACCATTTAATTTTATTGGTGATTTTGTTGTTTCAAAAACGAATTAATGGTTGCATTTTTTTGTAAACTATCGACGGCGCCATAAACAAAACACAATAAACGAATGTCCCGAATATTTTCTAGTTTATTAAATTGTTGTGTTTACAGTTTTTTGTTTGATATCCATCCGTGATCAATTGTTTTTGCAGACAATATATTGAACTAACTGGTCAGTTGAGCTGACAGTACGTTAGCCAGCTAAATGGGCTAAAAAAATAGACGTTATTGTTTTAATGATGAATCTCTAGTCTTGTTTTAATAGAAGTGACTGTTCATTATAAAAATAACTTCTATTGTTTTAGTCCATTCAGCTGGCTAACGTACTGGTCAGTTACCAGTTAGTTCAATATATTCTCTGTGTTTTTGTGCATTCAATTACTGGCTTTGGGCTCTCATTTATTTCGTTTTGGTGAAATCGCACCCCTTTTGAATACGAAAAAAAAGTCACCAAACAGTAAACAAATTAATTTTTCATTATTATTTTTTTTGAGTTTTGTGTGTGTGTGTCTATGGTCACCGATGTCAACATTTGGCAGACGATGTGGAAAATGTTATATATGTTGAACAAAAATAAACACAACTACCACTAGTTTTGTCCTAATATTACGATATAAACGAAAAATAAAAATGAAATGCACTTTACGCTTTAGTCACGCTTTTATTGCATCAATTTACAAGGACGTTTCACCGGTGTTTTAATGCCCTAGAGAAATGATTATAAAAATTTACGAACACAAACTGGAAGCAAATGTTCTGTGCTGACAATTTGCCATGGTTTTTTTTTTAAAATAAGCTGTCATGTAACAGAGAGTGCCTCTCAGGTGGATATCGGAATGTAATCATGGTTTTACTGAAATATGAAATAGCACTTTATGGGCACATTTTTTTAAATGACAAAATGCATTTTTTGGTCATAAGCACACCAGCGTTCACTCGCCATTTAGAATTTTGAGTGACACCGTCGATCAAAAAAACCTAACGAGAGATTTACAGTTATTTACGTGGATATAAAGTGGTCTTAAATCACTTAAATTATATCAACAGAAACCATTTGACAACATTCAATTTCACGTTGAAGCAACATTGTGATTTTTGTTTCGATTATTGCGAATTCAAAGTTGAACGAACGCATGCAAAAATTACCATATTTTGAATAAGCCTGATACCATGGTGGATGTATGGATGTATGGATTTTAGTGGGGAGAAAGACTCAAAAGAGAAAATCTCGTCGCGAAGGTCAAGGACCTATTGCAAAGCTACCCGTGGAGAAAGAGTAAAACAGCTCGTTCCTACCGATTGATAATATAATCATCCATAGGTTTAATGTTGCGACACTATTACGTGGGTTGTGTTACATTAAAAGTATCGTTCCCTGTAACTTGTCTATCGTTATTTAGTAAAGTGGGGGTGTCCCTCAGTTGAGAGAATCTACCCGACTCTTTGATGAAGCTAAAAATTTTTGAAATATCAAATTTTAAGACTTCCTCTGGATTGATCGTCCCCTTACCAAAAATAGTAACTCTGGTACGATCTAGTTGTGTACATGTGCACAGGAAATGAATTGAGGTTTCCTCATTTCTTCCGCAAAGGTCACAATCTGGATCATCCCTAACTCCAATGCGCTTCAAGTGTGCATTCAGTCTAATATGACCTGTTAGGATACCTATGGTATAACTTAGTTTCATTTTACTTAAACTAAGTAGTTGTGATGCAATCTTTTTACTAGGTGT